TTTCGGACTAATAAACTATGTTTTACATTCCTTAATCATAGATTTCGGTCGTAAACTATAGTTAACTGTCATTAATACATATAAATTGTATTTAACAGTCGTAAACTATACTTATGGATCGTATACTATTATAGTTATGAGAGGTAAATGAACATGAGAACATTTATTATACCTTTATGATAAACTTGATGACTTTAACTTTTCAATCGTCAACTTCCCTTACTTATGCAGCAATATACCTTCATCACCTGCATACGGGGTTTATATCTCTCAGTTGATTCGATACGCCAGAGCATACTCTACGTATGAACAATTTTTAAAACGAGGTAAGTTATTGACAAACAAGTTGATGAAACAAGAATATCAGCAGTCTCGTTTAAAGTCGTCATTTCGTAAGTTCTATGATCTATACAATGACCTTGTCAGCAAATACAATATATCATTAAGTAAAATGCTGACTGACGTTTTTCATACTTATTGTTAGGCCATTATTTACACACTGAATTGTCGACGGCTTTTTTCCGTTATCTCCCGATCATGACAAGGAGCACACAGCGGGTGTGACCGGTCGGCAGGGGATGCTCACTTCTCCATGGCACCTGACCCCACCTCTGATGTTTTGGAGGTCCGTGTTTGCGCTCCTCCAAAATTTGTATTGTTTAATGGACTTTTGAGCTTGAATATTGTTCGTTATCTCCATACATTTCATAAACTATAATTCACATTTGCCAATCATAGTTTATCGTCCTAAACTATACTTCACACTCGTAAACTATAGTTAAGAGTTGTTAAATATAGTTTATGAATCTAAACACCTGTTAACTTTGAACGATATAGTTTTCAATTCAAAATCTCGCGGCACCAATCGCGAGAGGAAATACTGAATGTGTGTCATTGCCGTAAGTTCTATATAAAAACGAAAAACAAATCCTGCTTCATATAAACAGAATTACTTGGATAATTTCTTTTCTTTGTAATCTTGAATTTATAGGTCAAGATTTCATCAACTCTTTTGATACTAGCAATGCTCAGTCATTTTTGTTTGATCAGCGCAAAAGGTTGGAAAGACGGCAAGGATAAATGTCTGTGATTTATTCCGTTGCTGATGTAGAAAAATTTATTACAAACCATCAAAACGCATTTTTCACTATCTTTCTCTTTCAAATGAAAAATAGATTTTAATCAAGAATTTTTCTGTCATTTTTCTTTTTATTTCAACTAGATTTGCTTTAAAATGAAAGAACGTTTATTATACCCGCACTTTCTAAAAAAGAGAAAGTTCGGGTATATTGTTGTTACCCTGGTCCGCCCGTCCGTCTGTCACACTTTCTTCTTAATCTAACTACTCCTACATTTTAAGCAGAATTCAATTAATCTTTTGGAATATGATAAGTGGTGTCCTAAAAGGGTCAAATGGGGGTCAAAAAATGGCGTCTTTATACAAAAAGACCCTGGTTCCCAGAATTCCTTTTACATTTAGCAAAGGTGTTTGAATGGGTGATATTCTCCATTCATTTCGAATAGAAGATAGCATCTTTTCAAATGGGCGATATCTATCAATCCTGACTTGGCCATGTGAAGATAGCATGGCCATGTTATAAATCTTGACTTGGCCAAGATAGGTTGGTCATGTTATCAATCCTGACTTGGTTAAGATGATGAAAATCATGGCTTGGTCATGTTTGAAATCTTGACATGGTCATGATTACCATCCTGACTGGCCAGGATTGATTTACAATGAAATATATAGAACATGACATGGGGGTCCCCTATGGCTTTCCATAGATATCATCTATTGAATAGGTGATATCACTTATTCAAATTGATGATCATCCTCAATTCCAATTCTTAAGAAGTTAACTTCCGTAACGGTAATTCAGGAAAGTTTGTGCATTAAAGAAATGCTTCATACTTTCATTATCCTAAAACAAACTTTGATTTTAACTATTACCGATAGTTTTAACTTTTATTGCTGGGAATTAACTTCCGTAACGATATTTTCCCCAAAATTTTAACTTAATTTCGGATTCATGCGAGACTTCATGAATCATACTTTAGCGTTCTATACTGAACATCAGAAACGAAAAATTGGTCAAATTCAGCTTTATTTAAAAATAATAAAAGACTTGATGGAGCATTAACTTCCGTAACATTACCTTTAAATCAATGGTAGAATATTGAAATTGTAAAATGTTAACGATACCAGATTTGTAGACAATTCTCTTTTTTCAAGTTCTCTGATATGTCCTCTAGAGAATATTATGATGTTCATTTTGCTATTCTAAACAATTTTTTTTTTCATGTTTGATACCCTGAATTCGTTGGTCTATTTTTCGTAGAATAGAAGATAGCATCTTTTCAAATGGGCGATATCTATCAATCCTGACTTGGCCATGTGAAGATAGCATGGCCATGTTATAAATCTTGACTTGGCCAAGATAGGTTGGTCATGTTATCAATCCTGACTTGGTTAAGATGATGAAAATCATGGCTTGGTCATGTTTGAAATCTTGACATGGTCATGATTACCATCCTGACTGGCCAGGATTGATTTACAATGAAATATATAGAACATGACATGGGGGTCCCCTATGGCTTCCCATAGATATCATCTATTGAATCTAGGTGATATCACTTATTCAAATTGATGATCATCCTCAATTCCAATTCTTAAGAAGTTAACTTCCGTAACGGTAATTCAGGAAAGTTTGTGCATTAAAGAAATGCTTCATACTTTCAATATCCTAAAACAAACTTTGATTTTAACTATTACCGATAGTTTTAACTTTTATTGCTGGGAATTAACTTCCGTAACGATATTTTCCCCAAAATTTTAACTTAATTTCGGATTCATGCGAGACTTCATGAATCATACTTTAGCGTTCTATACTGAACATCAGAAACGAAAAATTGGTCAAATTCAGCTTTATTTAAAAATAATAAAAGACTTGATGGAGCATTAACTTCCGTAACATTACCTTTAAATCAATGGTAGAATATTGAAATTGTAAAATGTTAACGATACCAGATTTGTAGACAATTCTCTTTTTTCAAGTTCTCTGATATGTCCTCTAGAGAATATTATGATGTTCATTTTGCTATTCTAAACAATTTTTTTTTTCATGTTTGATACCCTGAATTCGTTGGTCTATTTTTCGTAGAATGACTTCAAAACAGCTTCGGTGCAAGGGATTACCCTATTTACTTTTACACAAAAATTGTATAATGCTCAGAAGAATATTATTTAGATTAATAAAACTGCTTCACAAATCCTAGGCATTTTCTCATTTGATCAGAATTTGAGGAAAATTATACCGGAGGCTGTTTTTATCCTGATTCAACTTAAAACTTTACAAGTAATAATTGAACAACTGAGCTGTTGATATTTGTGCAGCAATACCAGCATTCCTTGGAATATTTTGCATCTAAATATACCTTGCTTCAATTAAATAAAATAGAGCATACTCTTGTGCCGAAGCACTTTTGTTGATGTCCTTGATAATCTTGTGTAGCAAAGACCAATGACGTCATAATATGACGCCATAATGCGTACTGGCTATATCATGTCGTGGGTACCAAGTATCAGTTTTTAACTTTCTCTGTATAATATATATTATTACATTTTCAACAGTGAAATACCGTGATTTATTTATTGAATAAAAGTAATATTCTCTCACAGTGTGAAAGGATACCAAAATGATATTCTCTCACAGTGTGAAAGGATATCAAAGTAAGTAAAAAATAATTTCTGGCCTGTCATAAGATAGAGATAGCAACTAAGCATCTTGATAGAGCTAAAATTGCAAATTTCTTCCCAAATATGTTGCTAAAATCCATGCTATGTAATGCTTTCAATCACACAACTGCTAAGCTATGACGTCTCAACCGCTTAACTATGACGTCAAGCCTATGACTGTTTTAAGAAAAGACAGAGGCAAAGGGAAAATCAAAGAAAATGTAATAAACAGAAAATTCAATGTTTTGTAGATGAATATGGAATTTACTTCACTCGTGAGACAGAATTTTTTGATATTTTCACTCGTGCTTCGCACTCGTGAAAATATCAAAAAATGCTGTCCCACTCGTGAAATAAATTCCATATTCATCTACAAAACATTGAATATCATCTATATATATATATATATATATATATATATATATATATATATATATATATATATATATATATATATATATATATATATATATATACATGATATATATATATAGTCCTTAGGCATTTCAATTAGTTTATTTACATAGAAATGCCTATACCTATAGCCTTAACTCACTTGCGCAGATCAAAAGCTGAATAGGTGATATCACCTATTCGAATGGGTGATGCCACGTTGAATGGGGGGTGATGTCACTTATTCGAATATGTGATAGTAAAACGGTCCCTCGTACACCTGACTAGTGATTAATGCAGGGATCCCGGGTTCGATTCCGGGTCTAGCTATGAATTTCCTTCATTTCTGTTTCATTTCGAGCAGTTGACCATCCCTGGACTCGCAGGTGAAAGTTCCTTCAACTTGTACTAAAGAAAATGGTTGGTTGTCTTCGAGGGTGCATTAATGGGAGGAATGTATTGTCTGGGCTATAAGGACCGTGGATATCGGCCTGAGTGCATGGCCGACTAGTAATGCAGGGGTCCCGGTTTCAATTTCCGTCCAGCCACAGGGGCTTGCTCCCGGCGTGTAATAATTATTTATTTAAAAAAATCGTATACGGTAATACTAAAGCAACACGGTCCAGCCATAAGTTTTCCTCCGTTCCCATGCTTCCTGATATATTTTAAATAAATTTTTTATGTGGAAAAAAATCCCTTCATTTTTCTGATGTCAAAGGTTCTACGAAAGGGATTTTTTTTAAAATAAATTTTAATAAAAATCATGTGAGACAGGATTTTAAAAATGCTGGTAACAACTTTGATTTATAGTATCCAAGATTTTCGTAATGCTTATAAGTTTTTGTCCATAACTAGGCACCGTATGAAAATTTGAGCAATGGAGAAGGTGATCGTTCAAAACTTTGTCAACGGAAAGTTTGTTCCGACGGAAAAATATATCGATAGTTTTGATCCATCGACAGGTGAAGTTTGGGCAAAGATACCAGACAGTGGAGAGAAAGAAATTAACGATGCTGTCACCGCCGCCAAGGCAGCGTTTCCGAAGTAAGAAAGTAGACTTTTTCGTGCATTCTGAACCGAATTTCCTCCATGTCCGAAGTATATATATATACATGATCCACGATACCGTAGTGACCTGTATAATTAGAGTTTGTTGCAAGAAGACGGCGATTATAGTTTTGATAACTTTCTGAGTTAATCAATAGGGTCATAGGTGACTGACTAAATGATGGACCAATCGGAATGTAGAAAATCCACATACCTACTTGATCTATGTTAATATGGTGCGCAATTTTGGCTATAATTAAAATTTCATGTATGTCAGTAGTCAATCAGATGATCGCCTGTCGTGCACACTTCAAACTGAAAAAAAAACCCAATTACAAGTAATCATACAAAGTATAGATCTTATAAAATTTTAATTTAGTATTGAAGATTCAGATTTTGACATACTTGTTGTTGTTGCTATTGGTTTGGGGGGGGGGGGGGGGCAGTTATGACATCTAGAATATTCAGGGTATATTGTTTTTGGTCTGTCTGTTTTCTGCCAAAACTGCAACCTTGCCCAAAACTTTTGAATGGTTGGAGCTATGGCTTTTGTATTTCACTTGTGTATTCCTTATGACAAGACCTTTCTTTAGTTTTTTTTTTTTACTTCGTGACCTTGACCTTTGAGTTTGACCTACTCTTAACTTGGCCATAACCTCTAAATGGTTGATGGGCTTATTTCACATGTGTATTCCATGTCACATGCTAATGCTTTTTGATTTCATTTAGATGGTCCAGCACTCCAGTTTTAGACAGGTCTAAACTTATGCTAAGAATTGCTGATCTGATTGAGGCAAGGCAAAATGAGTTTGCTGAACTTGAGTCAAAAGACCAAGGAAAGCCAGTGTGGTTGGCTAAAACTGTTGACATTCCACGCTTGATGCACAATTTTCGAAGCTACGCAACATCAGTTTTACATGATGTGAACAGGTAATATGTAATACTGTCATCGTAAAAAAAAATAAAATCAAAATTTATTAGACAGTTAATAAAGAAATAAAGAATAGTTTATGGTATCCACTCATGAGAATCTTTCAAAAAATAAATTTCCGAAATTTATAAACTTTTTGAATCAGAATTATTAAACAATATCTTAAGAGCAGGATTTGATATATTATATCACATGGAAATATTAAATAATGCCGAGCGACACTGGTTTTTGCGACGGGGGTCTAGCAGTTTTGTCACATTTCTATTGTTATTCATAGGCAGTTTTCAATGACATTGTTTACATCGAGCTGCAACTTGTCCATTTGTCTCATTTGCACAGAATGTGTATTTTGATCTAAACTTATACATATCCAAAGGTCAATGTTGGACAAATTGCGGCTCATATGTAATTTTTTGAAAAATTCTCCAAACTTCGGTCGAGTTGGCTACTAAATTAGCAGGTCAAGAGAGTCAACCGTTTGATATCATAATCACTTTACTCATGTGACATTCCACTGTTCGCTATACTTTCATTGTGTCTGTCAATCGAGGGCTGTACACACATATATGTATTTAAGTACAAAATCTTACTATGTATAGACTTTTAATACAGTGAATCATAAGATTTTTTTAATCTTATAAAACTGTATTAAGAATAGGACAATGCTCTATTTCTTGTACAAGTCTTAACCCTTTCATTTTTAAACCAATCAAAAGTACTCACATTGGGGTCATCCTATTTTTATAATAACAAAAAAGCACATGGTACATAATGCTCGACTTCAGCAGTACACATACGTTTTATGGGAAGGAGATCAAAAGGAGTAACTACATGTGATTGTAAAAGTTGCTCAAATGCTGCATTATCTATTCTAAAGAAGTTTTTATAACTTCTGGGGTCTTCTCTTTGTACCTCATCTTGCGATGCATTATGTTCACCAAGTACATTTACGAGTGTTCCGCTGTTGTTTCCATTATGATGGTCTTTTCAGTTTTAATGCAGTGCATAATACTATAACAGATAATGCTGACGGAACCTCGTTTTTCATCCATTATTGAGAGAGAGAGAGAGAAAAAATATATTGCGAGGGAAACATGTAGAAAATACCTAAAGTCTATTAACAATCTAATAAGACATGTATAAACATGGGCACAGGAAAGTATAATAATACAAATGCAATACTTGCATAATATTACAAATCTTGCAACGTGTACCGACTTCAAACTATTGAAGAATTTTGCGAAAATTTTATTAGGGTCTTAAAGTTTACATGTACCTTGTCTTTTTCACTAAATTGTGCTTTTCGTTTGGAATTTTGAAGGAAATTCTGGTATTGCCAGTGCAAATCAGGTGCACGATTAGTAGGTAGCTGTGCTAGCTCATGTCGCTTCCGTATTATGGCCTGCAGGCATCTACAGACACATCCCTAAACACTATATCATACCTGACAATATTTGAATTGCCGAAATGAAACAGAAATTGAAATGATTATGAACATAGTAACGTTGTAGAGTTTTCTTTGACCATGGTTTTTAATATCGAATATACTTGTTCCGTCAATAAAATGTTAATTTAAATTACATTTATAATTTCTTTATTGCATAATATACCCATATGGGTCAAGCAATACAATACAAAATAAAAAAAAAAAACAGAGAACATTGAATGTTTATAAACAATAGGTACAATTTAAGTAATTTACTCAATATATGTTACATTGATGTGGACCTTTTATTTCTTAATTCTAATGATTGTTTTATAAAAGTGCAAACAGTCAGTATAACTTCAAATGTTGGACTAAGTATATATTCAAGTTTCTGTATGGGTGATTTGAGATAGAATGAGGAACAATAATTATCTAGCATGGTTTTTATAAGTATATTCCTTGCTTGTATATTCAATTTACATTGTAAAAAAGAAATGAAATTCATCATCAATAGCATTACATGAAGTGCATTATCTTTACAGATAGTTTGTATTTCTTGGAATTGTCAAGTTAACCTAGCAACTCAAATTATTAGTTAAAATTTTATATTTCATTTCTGAATGTTGTTTATCTATACATGCATATAATAAAATATGTATCATCGTGAGTACTACATACATGTATACTTTAATTGTTTCATTACACATGTTTGTATTACTACGTATTACATGTACAGTGAATAACGATTAAATCTAGTGTGACATTGAAGTCATGTAAATGTGAATCTTTCCTAATACATACATTCATTCTTTAAATTGAAAAGCATTCAGAATATAAAATGAAAAATGATAAAGCTAAAGTAAAAAAAAAGGGGGGGGGGCATTTTTTTAATACATATATATGTAAGAAAACTTGAGATTAAGCTGATTCGGTGCTAGGCAGCAAATTTATGGATATGAATCATGAAAATGGTCAATATGTATGGCCATGAATTATGTATTATTTGTGTGAATCATGAAACTACATAATCTCTCTCTCCTCCGTTTAAATTCATACTGAGGAATCAATCTTGAAATGATGTGCAAATGTTTACATTCCACTTCCATGCGATTTAAATAACTCCGCCCATTTGTGGGTACCTTAAATTCGAAAGTGGTCCAGTTCAAATTTCCGGAATTTAAGGCTTATACATGTTATTTTCAATGACGTTGTGTGGAATTATAGGAATATGTTTAACAAAAAATTCGAAGTATAAATATCAAACGCATATGTATGCACAATAATCATAGATTAATTTAGCAATATAGTCTAATTTAAGGCTTAAAATGGGTGGCCGAAAAGGTTCCAGATGACACTCTAAAGTGCACTTATTCTTTGTAATGTGTCTGTGAGGTGTGTAAGACTTGCATGGTTTGTTAGAGAATAGTCATAGTGAATTATCTTTCAGAGATGATTAATTATTTTTTAATACAATGTTCAGAATATATGTATAGTAAAACATGGAACATTTTCTTAATGACAGGTCCACAGTGATGGAGCCTGTGGGAGCCATTAATTACACTGTGAGGGAGGCAGTGGGTGTGGCTGGACTCATCAGTCCGTGGAACCTCCCCCTATACCTCCTGTCCTTTAAGATTGCCCCCGCCATTGCCTGTGGTAACACTGTTGTGGCCAAACCCAGTGAGATGACATCAGTCACTGCTTGGAAGCTTTGTCAGATATTTGAGGAAGCAGGCAAATAAATATTTTGTAATATGAGAGGTGATCAAAAAATTCACGAACTATCTCTATATTTAAAAAGCCACAATTCATATCAGAATGAAATTTGGCACACATATAGTCATACACATGTTGTATAAATAGCTGATGCTATATAATGTTTTGCTCTGTGCTTGTGACGTCACAATGTGAAAATGATGTCAATATTGCGTGACTTGTGACAAAAAATGGTTCTCAGTTGTACTCGAGCAACGAACAGCTGTAAAGTTTAATGTATATCTTGGAAATTCCTTTTCAGTTGAGTATGATGATTTGTACAAGGTTTATGAAGACAAAAGACTTACCAGAAGTTCAATCATTAATTGGGTTGATTGTTTTAGTGAAGGCAGGGAGATGGTTAAAAATGATGTTTGTTCTGTGCCTTGCGAAAGCAAGCCGGGGAAAAGATGTGTCCTTACAAGAGCAATTTGTTATGAAAGATCGCCAAGTTACAATTAGAAAAATAGTTGAGTATCTTAACAATAATATAATTATTAAATCCCTAAAATATCATTTACTTTAGACTTTAAACATATGAGATATGATAAAAAGAAGGCGTCCATACTTTATCCACATTGGATAAACGACGCTCCTGAGACAGAGTACTCGGGTTATGAAGGTCACCATACTAATTCTTGGAAGGGATATCCTTATCCACCCATCCTATTGCCGATGGCCATTTCTGACAGATGGACTATTCTTGTTAAAAAATAACTTGCACGGTAAGTAGTATAAGACTCGGAAAATTTTTTTAGCTTTTGTGAACAGACCGCTACAGAGCATGTCACATGACAACCTGGATCACGTGATTCACACCTGGGCAGAACAATGGCAGATGTGCATTAAAATCGGAGAGGACTACTTTAAAAAATAATGAACACTGAAACCTCATTTTATTTCTTTTAGGGAAGTAATTCAATTAGTTTGCGAACTTTTTGATCACCCCTCGTATCTCACAAATAAGACAAGACTGACAAAATATTGTTATGCCTTATCAGAGAATATGATAATATATCACATACTTTATAACTTATAGCAATTGTACACATATGTCATTAGAAGCATAATAAAAATTTTTAGCTCACCTGAGCTGAAAGCTCAAGTGAGCTTTTCTGATCACCCGTTGTTCGTCGTCTGTCTGTCTGTAAACTTTTCACATTTTCAACTTCTTCTCAATTAAGAACCCCTGGGCCAATTTTGACCAAAATTGGAACAAAGCATCCTTAGGTGAAGAAGAGTTTAAATTGTTAAAATGAAGGACCAAGCCCCTTCCAAGGGGAGATAATCAAGAAAAGACAAAAATAGGGTGGGGTCATTAAAAAATCTTCTTCTCAAGAACCACTGGGCCAGAAAAGCTGAAACTTATGTGGAAGCATCCTGGAGTAGTGTACATTCTAAATTGTTCAAATCATGATCCCCGGGGGGTAGGGCAGGGCCACATTAGGGAATCCAACTTTTACATTAAAATATATAGGAAAAATCTTTAAAAATCTTCTTCTCAAGAAAACCACTGGGCCAGAAAAGCTGAAACTTTTGTGGAAGCATCCTGGTGTAGTGTAGATTCTAAATTGTTTAAATCATGACCCCCAGGGGTAGGGTGGGACCACAATAGGGAATCTAAGTATTACATGAAATATATAGGAAAAATCTTCTTCTCAAGGTCCACTGGGCCAGAAAATCTGAAACTTATGTGGAAGCATTCTGGAGTAGTGTAGATTCTAAATTGTTCAAATCATGATTCCCAGGGGTAGGGTGGGGCTACAATAGGGAATCCATTTTTTACATTGAAATATGTAAAAAATATCTTTAAAAATCTTCTTCTCAAGAACCACTGGGCCAGAAAAGCTGAAACTTATGTGGAAATATCCTGGAGTAGTGTAGATTCTAAATTGTTCAAATCATGATCCCCAGGGGTAGGGTGGGGCTACAATAGGGAATTCATTTTAAGTTCACCTGAGCCCAAGGCTCAAGTGAGCTTTTCTGATCGAAATTTGTCCGTTCTCTATCATTGTTGTTGTCTGCGGCAGCGTCATTGTAAACTTTTCACAATTTCATCTTCTTCTCCAGAACCACTGGGCCAATTTCAACCAAACTTGGCACAGAGTATCCTTGGGTGGAGGGGATTCAAGTTTGTTCAAATGAAGGGCCACATCTTCTTTCAAGGGGAGATAATTACAAATTAGTGAAAAATTAATGGCATCTTTTAAAAATCTTCTTCTCAAGAACCACTAGGCCAGGAAAGATGAAAATTATGTGGAATCATCGTCAGGTAGTGTAGATTCAATTTTGTTCAAATTATGACTCCTGGGGGTAGGGTGGGGCCACTATTGACAAGCAAATTTTTACATAGTAATATATAGGAAAAATCTTTAAAAGTCTTCTTCTCAAGAACAGCAAAGCCATGATTTGTCATATTTATATGGTAGCATCTTCAGGTAGTGTAGATTCAGGTTTGTTCGAATCATGACCCCTGGGGGTAGGGTGGGGCCACAATGGATGAGCAAGGTTATACATAGGAATACATAGCAGTTTTTTTTTAAAAGTCTTCTTCTCAGGAACATCAAAGACATGATTGGTTATATTTATATGGTAGCATCCTCAAGTAGTGTAGATTCCAATTTGTTCAAAACATGACCACTGGGGTAGGGTGGAACCACAATGGACAAGCAAAGTTTTACATAGGAATATATAGGAAAAATCTTCTCATGAACAACAAAGCCATGATTTGTCATTATCTATTTGGAAGCATCCTCGGGTAATGTAGATTCCAGTTTGTTCAAATCATGACCCTGGGGGGTAGGGCTGTGTATTGAGCAAAAAATTTCGATACGATACAATATTTTATAAAGCATTATGCAATATATTGGATACTTTAACAAGTCTATCAAAAAATGAGTGTTTTATAAACCATTTCCAAATTTTTGTCTTACTGTCATTACAAAATACACTTCAAATTCAAACTTTTAATGACTGTAAAACCAACATGTTTAAAAAACATTATCTATGCATTTTATAATAATTATTTAAGATGTCCTATCTCCTTAATGTTTATATCATTATTGATCTGTTTTAATTCAAAACAGTCAAATATAATCTTTGGTAATTGAAATTCCTAACTTTTTCACAGAATTATAAGAAAAACTGCCTGCCCGATACATATTGGAAGTTATTTCTTCAATATGATACATTCTTGAATATTGATACGTATCGATATATATCAATATATTGATACAGCCCTACCGGGGGGTGGGGCCACAATGGTCGAGCAAAGTTATTTATGGAAATACATACGATTTTTTAAAAATCTTCTTCTCAAGAACAGCAGAGCCATGATTAGTTATATGGAAGCATCCTCAGGTAGTGTAGATTCAGATTTGGTCAAATCATGCCCCCATGGGGATAGGGTGGGACCACAATGAAAGTTCAAACTTATAGGAAAAAAGCCACATTTTGGCAAAGAAATGTGTAAGCATCCTTAGTGTTAATTCAAGTTTCTTCATATCATACCCCCCCCCCCCCTCCTTTTAAGGGGTAGGTCAGGGCCACTTCTGCATTAATACTTTTTAAAACTGAACTTATTTCTGCTTTTTTCCTAGCCACAGTGCTCAGGTGAGCAATGTGGCCCATGGGCCTCTTGTTTACATTGAAATATATAGGAAAAATCTTTTTCTCAAGAAAACCACTGGGCCAGAAAAGCTAAAACTTTTGTGGAAGCATCCTGGTGTAGTGTAGATTCTAAATTGTTCAAATCATGACCCCCAGGGGTAGGGTGGGGCCACAATAGGGAATCTAAGTTTTACATGAAATATATAGGAAAAATCTTCTTCTCAAGATCCACTGGGCCAGAAAATCTGAAACTTACATGTATGTGGACGCATTCTGGAGTAGTGTAGATTCTAAATTGTTCAAATCATGATTCCCGGGGGTAGGGTGGGGCTACAATAGGGAATCCAATTTTTACATTAAAATATGTAGAAAAAATCTTTAAAAATCTTCTTAAGAACCATTGGGCCAGAAAAGCTGAAACTTATGTGGAAATATCCTGGAGTAGTGTAGATTCTAAATTGTTCAAATCATGACCCCTGGGGGTAGGGTGGGGCTACAATAGGGAATCCATTTTTTACATTGAAATATGTAGAAAAAATCTTTAAAAATCTTCTTAAGAAACACTGGGCCAGAAAAGCTGAAACTTTTGTGGAAGCATCCTGAGGAAGTGTAGATTCTAAATTATTCAAATCATGACCCCTGGGGGTAGGCGACCACAATAGGTTTACAAGGGGGGGAAATCAGGTGAAGAACAGCAGGGCCAAAGTTACTCAGGTGAGAGTTGTGGCCCATGGGCCTCTTGTTTTTATTCTGTAAAGATGCTTAGAATAGGTGTGGAAATAAAGCAGGTTTTTATAGCTACAAGTTTGGCAAGAGATATAGTTGATAAAGATAAGCTTAAGCTTGGTATATTAATTTTCCTTTTCTATAATGGTTAGTGTTCTTGCCATTAACATGACAGACAGTCAAAAAACATGAGGAGAAACTTTGAGTGATATCTTTAAGGTGTAAAGATATTTTTAATGGAGGGTAGGGGATGTGACTGTCAGACCTTCCCCTTGACTTGAGCAAGATAATTCAATAAGCTCCTATACAGATTTAAGGGTTCCAGGGTTGAAATCCTGGTTTGGGCCATTGCATTATAACCCTAACCATTTTACTTTGAAGAATAAAACATTTAAATTCTTAAGTTACATGGACAGTAAAACCTTGTTATTGCGAACTCAATGGAATGAAGAAAACAGATATCCAAGAATTTGAGACATCGAGATTTAAATACATAATGAAAAATAGTTGGGACTTTCACCCCACTTCAACATGTCCATGGTATTCAACTTATTCAAGTCCAAGATAATGAATTCAACTGTATATCTTTACCCCCCTTTTTTGACAGGTGTGCCACCTGGAGTGATTAATATTGTATTTGGAGTTGGTCCCCAGGCAGGAGAAGCTCTCGTCAAACATCCTGATGTACCCCTGATATCATTTACCGGCGGGACTGTTACTGCCAAAAAAATTCGGGAAGCTGCTGCTCCTTACTGCAAAAAATTCTCCTTGGAGGTAAAGAAGGGGTACACATGAAAAACATAAACTTACAATATTTACATATGAAAAACATATTGGCCTACTTACAATATTTTAAAATATTATCAAACAAAGATTGTTAGAGAAAGATAGAGATGTATACACTTTGAGGTCACTTAATAGGAAGTTAAAAAATTTGAGATTCTGCATGCCCTACCTACATGTACTTTACGTAGCTAATTTTCTAGATTCTTACTTGTTTTATCTTTCATTAGATACATGTATGACTATCCTCATTTCAGCTTGGTGGAAAAAATGCTGCAGTAATTTTTGATGATGCTGACTTGGAGAAATGTTTATCAACTTCACTTAGGTATGCAAGTTACTTATTTTTCTTTATTTATGAAGTACAGTGTATTGGCATGACAGAATGTTTTTTGGATAACTCTCTGAAACATGCAGGTATTTTTCAGATCAAGTTTTGCTAATCAAGGGGAAATCTGCCTTTGTACAAGCAGGATTTACGTACAGAAGCAACTTTATCCAAAGTTTCTAGAGAAATTTGTCACTGAAACCAAGTAAGGACTGATTTACAAAAAACCCAGATATACCAGTAGCATGTATGTGAACTTTCATGAATTCAATTGTTACAAAGTTTGTTTTTTTTTTAATCAAATTGTCAACATTTTTTTGCAACAGATCTGTAGTTCACTTTTTCCAGGTAATTGAGCTACAGATCTGCAGCTACATTTTTGTTTAAAAACACCTTAGGAGGATAATATACACATGTATAAATAGTCCATATTTTGAAGAGTAACAGCTGAAATTGATATCCCTCCGAAAACTATTGTCAACCGACACATCACAGGCATGTGTCTCCATTATGTTGTCCATTGCCATGTGTGTTGCTAATGCTGAGGGTAACATTAAAAATTGGTTAATGCTTCTAAACCAATCAAATTTCGGTATTTAATACAAAAGTATAATAAAATATGTTATCCTATGCATTTATATACATACCGATATATTGCAGTTTCACTTGAAAAGGAGCAGAATGTGGAAAGAATGATCAAGTGTCAGAATTTGATTAACACTTAATTTGCATTTAATTTATTCCATCTGGTATAATGCTAGTAATTACTTTTTTCGTGAAGTAAAGTAATTCTCTGTTTCTTTATAAATTTAGGAAAATAAGGGTTGGTGATCCAAGAAATGAGAAGACATTTATGGGGGCTTTGATAAGTAAAGAACATTTGACAAAGGTCAAAGGTTATGTGGATTTGGCTGAAAAAGAAGGAGCAACAATTGCATGTGGTAAAGAGGATTTGAATCTGGAAGATGGCAACAAGAATGTAAGTGTCAAAATTATAAGCATATGCCATTAATTGAGCTCTTTTCCTTTCCTCTAACTTATCTCTGGAAGGATACTAATTGCTTCACTCTATTATTATTCACCTTTTATTTAAGAAAGAATTTCCTTGTCATAAGAATTTGGGCAAGGTTTTTATTTTCAAACGAAATCTCTTGACTATCAGGGTATTTTCTCCAATAATTACAATAACAAGGGAATTATTTCTGTTCTACTGTGGCAAATTTTTAACACCTATACAGTGAATTGGGAAAGCTAGATTTCCTCCAACAGAATTGTCTTTAAACATCATAATTGAATGCTACTTTGCACAACTCATTAGAAAATTATCAAAATACCTAGTAAACTTTTTCCAGTGAATAGGATAGTTCATGAGTTGTAGTAAGGACCAGTGTTTAATAAAGCTTATCTGTTTACAGGGATACTTCAAGAGTTGTAGTAAGGACAAGTGATATGATTATCTCTTTTTTAACAAAGATATTTCATGAGTTATAGTAAGGACCACTATTTAATATAATTTATCTGTTTACAGGGATAATTTATGAGTTGTAGTAAGGACCAGTGTTTAATATAATTATATCTTTACAAGGATATTTCACGAGTCATAGAAAGGACCACTGTTTAATTTAACTTACCTGTTTACAGGGATATTTCATGAGTCGTAGTAAGGACCAATGTTTATTTATCTGTTTACAGAGATATTTCATGAGACCTAGTAAAGATGACTGTTTAATTAATATAATTTATCTGTTTACAGGGATATTTCATGAGACCCACTGTCATAACTGACGTGAAGGATGACTCTCGTTTGATGAAAGAAGAAATTTTTGGCCCAGTGACTTGTATTGTGCCATTTGACACAGAGGAAGAGGTAGGATTTACATGGAGTCAGTGTGCTACGTACATGTGCAGTATATGGTAAACACACTGTGTATGAGATTTACATTGTGTTAGTTCTGCCTCTTAGACATGTGAAATGATTATTTCTCCCTTTGAAGGCAATAAGACGAGCCAATGACGTGGAGTATGGCTTATCAGCCACTGTGTGGACTGAGAATGCATCTCGACTTCACAGAGTCTCCAAGTCTCTACAGGTATTGTTTTTATCAGTATTTACTATGTATTGGTGTATCCTACCCCAGAAGCCATGAAAAAATCAAAAGATTGGAGGAATATGTCAGGCTAAAATTCTACAAAGCTTACGGTATGGTACTGTGTAACCAACCCAACTAAAGAAAAAATTCTGATTCTTGTACATGTATATTGAAATACATAGCAGCCATTTTGATGTTTTACAAGAATTAGACATTACATGTATTTTACAAGCTGTTTTAACATTTTACAGGTTGGGACAGTGTGGGCTAACTGTTGGCTTGTGAGGGACCTGAACATGCCATTTGGAGGAGTCAAGAATTCAGGGGTCGGATTTGAGGGCAATACCGATTCTCTTGAATTCTTTACAAATGAGAAAACAATTTGTGTGAAACTATAAACAAAAACCTAAGTTGTATTTCTCTTACTCATAATTTGAAAGTATGAAAATTCTAGGCAAATGCAATCAAAGCCCGAGATGATTAATCCTGCACATTCTAATTACACAATATTCTTGATAGCTTTAAAAAAAATTAATCTTCCTACTTCTGTATGATGTTACATTTGTTCCTGATCAGATTGGTACTTGCCTTTATTCTCCAGAGGGTAAAAAAAATCACAGTCTCAATAAAACTTTTTTAAAAAGTTAATATTCTGTAAAATAAAATTATGATTTTTGACTTCAAAGACTTGTTAAACACTACAGCAGATTCAAACAAACATGATAGAAAATATGAAAACTCAAACACCTATGAATTGACATCTCTATACAATAAGTGCTATGTATGACATCACTGTGCTTTACAGATAACTTCATTTATTAACAGCTGCTCTGCTTGTTTGCTTGTTTGTTTTATTTGATATGTTCTGTTTGTTTGCTTGTTTGTTTTATGTGATATATGTCTGTTTTATGTGATATATGTTTGTTTTATGTGATATGTTTTATAAATACTGATGTATTGTTGATCCATGTAGTTTCTTTATGAAGTAAGTCACATACTTTTCTCACACATTCCAGATCTAGACCAAAGTTTATTTGCATAATATGCATGCATAAAGCATTTATTATTTCATATAAAAATGGATTTTGGTACATGTTGTGATGTAGGGCATACATGTAAGGCATAATACTATATATTGTACATGTAAGTTCATGTGCCTTGAATATTGTTTGAAAGGCAATTATCTTAAGGAAAAGATCTTTTCTATGTTTCTAATTTTGAAGAGAAAAAAATAAACAGAAATTGATAGCATAAAATATTTGTTATATTTCTTAGCTCACCTGAGCTACATAGTACTAGCTCAAATGAGCTTTTCTGATACCTGTTGTTGGTATCTGTCTGTCTGTCTGTCTATCTATCCATCTTTCTGTCTGTAAAATTGACACGCTTACTACTACTTCTCTAGAACCATGGAATATATAGGAAATTAACAATCTTTTAACTATATGTGTTGTAACGCCATGAATGCCTCCCTCAGGCAGCAATAATTTCAAATTGCAAATTGTAAACTGCACATCTGTAGCAGACATAATGATTAGAAACTGTGAAGTTTTAAATCTTTTCCAAGTTCAAGGGGGATAACTCTGTCAAAAATCATTGGACCACAACCAAATTCAAACTTGACTGTATTTTCTGGTAAAATACCTGTATATGGAATTTCAACCTTATACATACATCCCTACAAAAGTTAGCGAGCTGAAACTGAAATTTTCTTATTTTTTTCTAAATTCAAGAGGGATTACTCTGTAAAAAATCATCGGACCACAACCAAATTCAAACTTGACCTGTATTTTCTGGTAAAATACCTGCACATGCAATCTCAACCTTGTACATACATCCCTACAAAAGTTAGAGAGAAGAAATTGAAAATTTCTTATTTTTTTCTAAGTTCAAGAGGAATAACTCTGTTAAAAATTATTGGACCATGACCAAATTCAAACTTGACCTGTATTTTCTGGTAAAATACCTGCACATGCAATCTCAACCTTATACATACATCCCTACAGAAGTTAGATAGCGGAAACTGAAAATTTCTCATCTTTTTCTAAGTTCAAGAGGGATAACTCTGTCAAAAATCATTGGACCACGACCAAATTTGAACTTGACCTGTATTTTCTGGTAAAATACCTGCATGTGGAACTTCAACCTCATACATACATCCCTACAAAAGAGGTCCAGGGGCCACATCGCTCACCTGAGCACTTTGGCTAGGAAAAAGCAGAAATCAGTTCAGTATTGAAAAGTTTAAATATAAAAATGGTTGGGGGGTATGATTTGAACAAGCTTGAATCTAAACTTCCTAAGGATGCTTTTGAATTAATATGACACATAATGGCTTTGCTGTTCTTAAGATGAAAATTTTTGGTATATCCTTTATATTCCCTTGTATAACTATGATCCCCTGTTATGGCCCCTCTATTCTCCTGGGGGATGGGCATGATTTGAACAAATTTTTAAATCTACATTAACTGAGGATGCTTTTATATTATAATGACCAATCATGCCTTTGTTGTTCTTGTGAAGATTTTTAAAGATTTTTCCAATGTTATACTTATCGCCCATTGTGACCCCACCCTACCCCCAGGGGTCATGATTTGAACAAGCTTGAATCTACACTACCTGAGGATGCTTCCATATAAATATGTCTACCGTAATAATCATGGCTTTGCTGTTCTTGAGAAGAAGATTTTTAAAGATTTTTTCCTATGTATTCCTATGTAAAACTTTGATTTCCCATTTTGGCCCCACCCTACCCCTGGGATCATGATTTGAACAAGCTTGAATCTACACTACCTGAGGATGCTTCCATATTAATATGATTAATCACAAATTTTCTGTTCTTGAGAACAAGATTTTTAAAGATTTTCTACCTATGTAAAACGTTGACCACCCATTGTGGCCCCACCCTACCCCCGGGTCATGATTGGAACAAAAGTGAATCTACACTACCTGAGGATGCTTCCATATAAATATGACTAATCTTGGCTCTATGTTCTAGAGAAGATTTTAAAAGATTTTTCCTATGTATTCCTATGTAAAACTTTGATCACCCATTGTGGCCCCACCCTATCCCGGGGGTCTTGATTTGTACAAACTTGAATCTACACTACCTGAGGATGCTTCCACATAAATATGGCTAATCATGGCTTTGCTGTTTTTGAGAAGATGTTTAAAGATTTTTCTTATGTATTCCTATGCAAAACTTTGATCCCCCATTGTGGCCCCACCCTACCTCCGGGGGGTCATAATTTGAATAAACTTGAATATACATTACCTTACAATGATTCCACATAAGTTTCATACTTTCAAGCAAAGTGGTTCTTGAGAAGATTTTTAAATGATGCCATTCATTTTTTGCAAAATCATAATTATCTCCCCTTGGAAGAAAGTGTGGCCCTTCATTTTGTGGCAAGTTTGGTTGAAATTGGCCCAGTGGTTCTTGAGAAGAAGATAAAAATGTGAAAAGTTTACAATGACGACGACAGACAACGGACAAATTTCATTCGAGCCTTCAACTCAGGTGAGCTAAAAAGTGGAAACTGAAAATTTCTTATTTTTTCCTACAATCAAGAGGGATAACTCTGTCAAAAATCATCGGACAATGACCAAATTCGAACTTGACATGCGTATTCCTATGATGTATCCATATATCAAACTAATTTGAGTTGAATATGAGCAACTGTTGCTGAGATAATGAACGGAAAGTCAATGATGACGGAATAATAGAATGATAGAATGATAAAAAACAGGGTAACACTATATGCTCCCGGCCATTTTATGGTGGGGGCATAAAAAACAGCAGGGCCATGATCAGAGAAATTAAGAGTAAAACATGCTTGTAGTGAACACACTTATAATAAATTAACACTTACAGTGAAGCATTTTTCATTCCCAGTCACTTTAATTAAATATTGTGAACTAAACAGATATTACGAATTGCATTTATAACAAAGCAAAATTGTTTGTCTCTGGCACTTTGTTATAAGCATGTAATATACAAACATTCTCAGGTAATGCAGATTCAAGTTTGTTTGTTTTTTTTTCAAATCATGGTCCTTGGGGGTAGGGGTGGGGCCACAATAGAGTATCAATGTTTTAAATGGGAATGTGTAGGAAAATTTCTTAATCATTTTCTCGAGAACAGCAGGACCATGATTAGTCATACGCCTGCAATTAGGTTAATTGTGCAGATTCAAACATTCCTAAGTTGTGTGGATTCAACTTTGTTTTTCAAATAATGAACCCTGGGGGTAGGGAAGGGCTAAAATTGGAATCAATTTTTACATAAAGCATGTACATGTATACAAAGATAAGGGGAAAAAATCTTGAGAAATCTTTTTCTCCAGAACAGCAAGGCTGTGCTAGTCATATAGATAATGATGCATCCCCATGACGTGTGAATTCAAGTTCAATTATGTCATGACTCCTTGGCCATGGAGTGGGCCACAATATGGGCTCAGAATTTTTTTTATATGAATGAAGAAGGGGAGGATTATTTAATTGTCTGAAGAACACCTGGACTATGGTGACTCAGATGAGCATTGTAGTCCATGAGCATCTTGTTAAAATAACCAGAATTTAATCTGTGAAATGCATGAAGAAAACATAGGTAATCAGATATTACAGAGCTCACCTCAACAAATGTTGTCTTTAAGTAAGGCAAAGTCCCACACTAAACTAATAATCTAGGAGTGTGCATCCCTAGATGCAACATTTATGCAATTTTGGTCTAATAGGGCTTGCAGTTACTTGGGAATAGACTTATCAGAACACTTAAAACTAGTCACTCATCCAGAAAATGTAAGTCAAATCCAGCATCCGAAGCAAGTTTGAGATTGTTCATCCCTTGATGCATCATCCATGCAAGTTTGGTTCAGATAGGCCTTATAGTTACTTGGAAATGAGATCTACTCCAAAAACTTTAACCTGGTTACTCATCCGGAAAATGTAGGTCAGATCCAGCATCCGAAGCAAGTCCAGTAGTGTGAATCCTTAAATGTATCATCCATGCAAGTTTAGTCAATATAGGGCTTATAGTTACTTGGAAATGAGATCTGCTCCAAAAACCTTAACCTGGTCACTCATCCGGAAAATATAGGTCAAATCCAGCATCCGAAGCAAGTCCAGTAGTGTGCATCCTTAGATGTATCATCCATGCAAGTTTGGTCAATATAGGGCTTATAGTTACTTGGAAATGAGATCTACTCCAAAAACTTTAACCTAGTCACTCATTCGGAAAATGTAGGTCAGATCCAGCATCCGAAGCAAGTTCAGTAGTGTGCATGCTTAGATGTATCATCCATGCACATTTGGTCAATATAGGGCTTATAGTTACTTGGAAATGACACCTGCTCCAAAAACTTTAACCTGCTCCAAAAACATTAACCTGGTCATTCTTTAGCTGAAATTGAAGCATCTGAAACCTTGACTGGTACAATGAAACACACTAGAAGCATCCTCCATGCATCTCTGACTAATATAGGCCATAGAAGTACTTTAAAAGAAAACTGCTCCAAAAACCTTAACCTGGGACGCCAACGCCGACACCGAGGGTATTACATAAGCTCCCCCAACTTCGTTGAGGTGAGCTAAAAATGGTTTTCCAAGAGCAAGAAAATGGAAATGTTGTAAAATGTAAACTTTGTAGTAAACTTTGCTATTCATTTATCAGATTGAACAATTGTTTGTGGCAAGCATCCTGTGCACCATAATCACAATAGCCATACAAGGTAGATTCTTTGACCTGTTTAATAATATGTCATAAAAACTTGGTGATCTTCAGGACATAATATATTAACTGACATGAGCTGAAATACAGTAGCATTTCTTAGTTTTATTTTTATCTCTTTGTACATGGAATGACATAACAGTGATAAAAAATCTTAAATGTTAGGATACTGTGTAGTTTGTTTCTTATAATTTTTGTATACATATCTGTTAAAATATGAAAAAAATCAATATGATTTTAAAAACATAGGTAATCAAAGATTACGAAGCTCACCTCGACGAATGTTATCTACATGTAAGGCAAATTTCACATCATATTTTTTTCTAGTTAGGGTACATCCCAAGATCAATATCCATGCAAGTTTGATTTAATTATAGATCTGCTCAAAAAACTTTTGACCTGTTTAGTAATCAAGAAAATTTTGGTCAGTTCCAACATCCAAAGCAAGTCTGGAAGTTTTCATCCTTAGATGCACCATCTATGCAAGTTTAATCATAACAGGCCATAATATTATATAGCTACTCCAAAAAATTACCCTGGTCACTCATCTGGAAAATGTACGTCAGATTCAGAATCCAAGGCAAGTCCGGAAGTATCCATCCCTAGATACATCATCCATGCTAATTTGGTTAAAATATGGCTAAAATTCACTCATGTGGAAAATCTAGGTCAGATCCAGCATTCGAAGCAGGTTGGTTAGTTTACATCCCTAGATGCATCATCCATGCAAGTTTGGTCCAGATAGGGCTTATAGTTACTTGGGAACGAGACTACTCCTAAATCTAAACCTGGTCTCACATGTGGAAAATCTAGGTCAGATCCAGCATCCAAAGCAAGTGTGGTAGTGTCCATCCCTGGATGCATCATCCATGCAAGTTTGGTCCAGGTAGGGCTTACAGTTACTTGGGAATGGACCTACTCCTAAAACTTTAACCTGGTACACATCTGGAAAATCTAGGTCAGATCCAGCATCCGAAGCAAGTGTGGTAGTGTCCATCCCTGGATGCATCATCCATGCAAGTTTGGTCCAGGTAGGGCTTACAGTTACTTGGGAATGGACCTGCTCCTAAAACTTTAACCTGGTACACATCTGGAAAATCTACATCAGATCCAGCATCCGAACTAAGTGTGGCCATGTCCATCCCTAGATGCATCATCCATGCAAGTTTGGTCAAGGTAAGGCTTATAGTTACTTGGGAATGGACCTGCTCCTAAAACTTTAACCTGGTCACTCATCCGGAAAATCTAGGTCAGATCCAGCATCCGAAGCAAGTGTGGTAGTGTCCATCCCTAGATGCATCATCCATGCAAGTTTGGTCCAGGTAGGGCTTATAGTTACTTGGGAATGGATCTGCTCCTAAAACTTTAACCTGGTCACTCATCCGGAAAATCTACACTAGATCCAGCATCCGAAGCAAGTGTGGTAGTGTTCATCCCTAGATGCATCATCCATGCAAGTTTGGTCAAGGTAGGGCTGATAGTTACTTGGGAATGGACCTGCTCCTAAAACTTTAACCTGGTCACTCATCCGGTAAATCTAGGTCAGATCCAGCATCCGAAGCAAGTGTGGTAGTGTCCATCCCTAGATGCATCATCCATGCAAGTTTGGTCCAGGTAGGGCTTGTAGTTACTTGGGAATGGACCTGCTCCTAAAACTTTAACCTGGGACACAGACGCTAACGCCGACGCCGACACCGACGCCGATGCCGACGCCGGGGGTATAGCATAAGCTCATCTCGACTTCGTCGAGGTGAGCTAAAAAGTTATTGATAAATGAACAAAGGTAGTTATTTGGTACAAAGACTACAATCTTTCTAGATTTTAACAATTATTTATGGCACTTTTCTCATGATATTAGGTATTCAAAACTTTTAAAAAATGTTTGACAATACAACATATTTTAGACTAATGTATCTCCAACAATATAATTAACAGAACTAGATAACAAAAATCATTTCATACAGGATTTTAAATAACAAATCAATCCACAAATTTATCTTAAAAATAACTGTATTGCTGAATTTAGACTTTCTACTTCACAGCTGCATGGTTCTAAACACAACCTACAACTTAATCAAATACTACTAATAATACTTCTTTAAAATCAATATTTAACATATAATTATTTTGTTTGAATACTTCAGTGTTTAAGGGGGCAAGATCTTTTGTTCTAAAACAAGAAGCATTCAAACAACACCTAACCAATTCCTCAAATTTGTTCCCAATGTTTCTGCTTGGAATTATATCCTAAGGGTTTTTTTAAAAATCTACTAGTAAAAGCCTCATAAGGATTTAGTATCTTGATGGTGAAACAATACTCCAATTCATTCATTGTGTACAATAAGAACCACTGAGACAAAAGAAAACCTAGTATAATCACCAGAAATGTCTTGGCATTACGGAATGCTGTTTAGTTTTCTGTATGCAAGGGGTGAACAACTTTGGTGGGAATAAAATTTTTGCAGTTGTAATTTGACAGATATGATTTTTTGGCCTGCCTTTGGTTATGAATAGAATACAGACACTCTAATCCATGTGAGATTTCCTTATTTCACAAAGGATAAAATATTGCACATAAAACAAATACATGAAGTCAAGGTAACATATCAACAAGAGTGAACAGAAACAGAATTTTTAAAATCAGTGTCAAAGTCTTGTGAATTTCTATCTGAACATTAGCTTGAACATGAACTGAACATTAGCTTGAACATGAACTGAACATTAGCTTGAATATGAACTGAACATTAGCTTGAACATGAACTACTGTAAATTTGTTGTCTCATTTACTTCAACAGAATGGGCTTTAAATAAAATTTGTGAACAGATTGACATTAATCTCTCTTACTAGTGATTAAATACTAAAAATATGTGTATATTCTTATCCATTAAGTTAAAAGATGTGAAAATATAGTTGTCTATTTTGGATTGACAATCCATATTTATGCTGCAGTTTTGCACAGAAAATTTCAGTTTAATATGTCATGAAGAAAAACAAGTGATAATATTAAAATGACACGCAGTTTAATACATGTATTTACACATTGGTATAACTCTGTTTAGCACTACCTTATTAATTTAGGCAAGCACTCAAATATGCATTTTAAATCAAAAGCTCATTTTGAATTTTTTTATATGATTAAATATTTTACCGGTATTTACAGAATTATGTTAACGAGTGTCAAATCTGACCATTGTTGTGTAAATGAAATGCTCAAATGCATTGGATAAATGCTTGATTTTATGGTACATGTACATGTGTTTATGCCATGGAACAGCTACATGATACATGCAGTGTCTTGGAACCATGCATTCTAAACATCATGCAAAACATTCTTGTTTTCAAGAAAGCAACCACAGAGAATAAAATGTATGAAACATACACAACTATATACAGTACATCCCACAATAATTTGTTGTGCGGAATCATTTGTGAATCCACAGAAGAAATTAGAAGTGCCAAAGATAGGTTTTGCTTAAGTTATGGATTACTGGTAGAAAACAAACACATGTAATATACAATATACCAGGGTGACTGTTCTGAAAAAATTCAGTGCTGATGAGTGAAGCTATTTATGGCATTACTTTAGGAATATTATGGAATGGAAGTAACATTTAGTACACAACATACATGTAATTAAAACATCAATATACATGTAAAATCAAATTACTGGCCCAAGAACATAAAACTTGGTCACTGTACAAAATATACCATGGGTGTAACAGAAAGTGATATTTTGATTAACAACCTTTAAGGTTGCACTAAAAATTGGAATGTTTTGTTTTTTTATACAATGTAGGTGTAATGTGCCTTAAAAGGATATGTACAGTTTCAACAACAAATAAGCAAACATGCTAGTTTGCCAACGTGTATATTGTACAATCTATTATACATTTCAAATAATGTGGTTATCAACTTGAGCACCTTTTTATCTGAAATTCATAAATCGCTTGTTTTCTCTATCTCTGACTAGATCCTGTATTGTAATATCATCTTCTATCTCTCTCTTTTGTGAGGTGATTTTTCATTGGTTGACGTAGTAGGTAGGTTAAAGGTCATCATCACCAATAGTATCAAATGCATTGTTTTCAACAAAAGTCTTATTCTTTCCTTTGGGCTTTTCCTGATAAAAAGAATATGTACCATTTAACATGTATCTAATGAAATTATAAGTAATAAAATGTAACAAAACTAATGTAGAAACATGTAATTATGCATTAAACACTTAACATTTTTTATTTGTTATAGAAATTTTAATTCAGCAATCATTATTAAAGTAGCATCCTTACATCCACAGCTTTGCTTGGCTGATAACTGTTTTCTTGCTGGGCTGTCCGAGAATCCATCTTGGATCTGTCTTGTGGCTGTAAAAATCACAAGCATGAATGGTTTTACATGACAATTCAATATAAAGTTTTCACATTTTTACCAGGGTCCTGATATGACTGTATGTAGTTCATACATGTACATGTTTATTTCCTTATAGCCTAGGAATTCATAATTCATAAACATGAAGGACAATGATTTTCATACTAACATGTATTTTCATTATCCGTACATTTAACTTACTTTTTCTTTCTTTTTCTTAAGGGGGGGGGGGGGGGGGGGGGGGGGGGAGAGGGGGGTATGTTTTCTGTGTCAGAGATTTTTATCTTGAATATTCAAGAAGACGTTTTGGTTACCAAATTCTGCAAGTTTTTCAGACAATCTGTGATGTATCACATATATGCTTTATCATTGTAATTTCTGCTTTGTTATGTGCAAACCTTTTTGATTTTCTTTCCCTGCTTTTTCATGATCAGTTCATCCACCATTGACTGTAGACACATACTCATCAGAATTGCCTGAAATATAAATGTAATTGCTCTTCACACTGATACACAATGACTAACATACCGGTAAATGACATTGCTGTTCACACTGACACACAATGACATAGCTGTTACACTGACACACAATGACATAGCTGTTACACTGTCACACAATGACATATCTGTTACACTGTCACATAATGTAATTGCTATTCACACTGATACACAATGACATAGCTGTTCACACTGATACACAATGACATAGCTGTTACACTGTCACATAATGTAATTGCTATTCACACTGATACACAATGACATAGCTGTTACACTGTCACATAATGTAATTGCTATTCACACTGACACACAATGACATAGCTGTTACACTGTCACACAATGACATAGCTGTTACACTGTCACATAATGTAATTGCTATTCACACTGATACACAATGACATAGCTGTTCACACTGATACACAATGACATAGCTGTTACACTGTCACACAATGACATAGCTGTTACACTGTCACACAATGACATAGCTGTTACACTGTCACATAATGTAATTGCTATTCACACTGATACACAATGACATAGCTGTTCACACTGACACACAAATGAAATAGCTGTTCAAACTAATACAAATGACATTGCTGTTTACACTGACATACAAATGACATTGCTGTTTACAATAGAGAGTTTGAGATTTTAAACTTGTACGCGTACGTGTACGTGTGTACAAACTTTGACGTACACGTACACGTTGTTTGAAATTTGTCTGTTGAGATTCAATGACGCGTAACATGAACGTGTAGACTGTAATCGGTGTCTCTGTTTCAACTATTTTGTAGTTACGTGAAATTAGTTTGACTTTAGTTACATGTAGTGGGCAAAACATGGTTAAAATAAGTGCTCATGAAACTCAACATCCTAAATAATTAATAACAATAACAGTTTCACACATAAATTGACTAGTTTTTACTGAAAAAGCTACAAGTTTACACCTACGTGTAGATGCCTTTTTACAAGTTGTAGGAACGTGTAGAAAACCTATCAACACCAAAACTGATGACGTAATACGCAAGAAATTTAGGGAATTCCCCTACTAGACGTACTCGTACACGTACACGTATGGAATCTCAACCTCTCTAATGACACACAAATGACATTGCTGTTTAAACTGACAATACACCATTTCTTTTTAATTACACATACCTGGTCTGTGGTTATAGTGATCCATTTCAATGTGTCCTTTGCCATTAAATATTCAAATGACAACTCCAGCTTGGGTTTGCTTGACTGACCACCTAGGGCTATTTGTCCATTGGATTCAGGCATCTATAAAATCAGTCATACAAATGGATTTTTTAACTGACCAAAGGAGGCATAATCTTGCAGTACAGATGATTAATAAAAATATTTCATCAGTGATATTTATCCAATGGTACATTTTCACTCTATTTCAAAATATAACACATCTAAATTTCATTTCTACAAGAAATTTATGATATTGCCTATACTGAAATCATCAATATCAATACCAAACAGCTGAATTGTTATCTTAAGCTAAATATACAAGATTTGTAGGCATTTATTTAAAGTCCCCATTATAGTAATTTTTCTTTCTATCCATCCTTTATCCTTGGTCATAACTGTAAAGCTATACAAAAGCAACAACCTTATTTTGAGGTCAAAGATCAAATACAAATTTACACAATTTAAAGTGCAATACTCACAAAGGTAGTAATAAGTACAATACTCACAGAGGTAGTAATAAGTGCAATACTCACAGAGGTAGTAATAAGTACAATACTCACAGAGGTAGTAATAAGTGCAATACTCACAGAGGTAGTAATAAGTACAATACTCACAGAGGTAATAAGTACAATACTCACAGAGGTAATAATAAGTGCAATACTCACAGAGGTATTAAGAAGTACAATACTCACAGAGGTAGTAATAAGTGCAATACTCACAGAGGTAGTAATAAGTACAATACTCACAGAGGTAGTAATAAGTACAATACTCACAGAGGTAGTAATAAGTACAATACTCACAGAGGTAGTAATAAGTGCAATACTCACAGAGGTAGTAATAAGTACAATACTCACAGAGGTAGTAATAAGTACAATACTCACAGAGGTAGTAATAAGTACATTACTCACAGAGGTAGTAATTCTCCAGCATCTCATTCTGGTGATCTTAAAGCTTCCTTCCTTCATTGTGCTCTACAAAAGAGTTCATGAAGTAGTAAGATAGAGTGTACTTTTAGTTTGAGGCTCACTCATTCTACATGCCCAAATTATTTAATTAAAAGTAAAACTTGTTTAGTACAAACATGGATATAGGGAATTCACAGATAAAACAAAGTTTTTTGAGTTCTAAACAAATTCCTTGCAAAATTTTATGGTTAAAATGAACTCTGATATAGCGAAGTTATGGATATAGTGAACTGATTTTGTGTTCCTTCAAGGTTATAAGTAAAAAAATTTGCCTTGTTTTTTATAACAATTTTTTTTAGATTATAAAATTTTAAGAAAAACTGACATTATTTGACATTAATATACATGTATTTAACATTCAATTCATCAAAAAACTTTAGTACCCGTAATCCAAGGTAAGTTTTGTATTTAATAGTTCTCTGAACATATTGGGGAGTCACATTTGAAGAAAATAGATAAATGTATATTGCAAATTTGTGATAATATATACTTTAACAAATTAGTCACATAGAACTGGTCACAGTAGCCTAGTGGTAGGGCATTCACTTCGTGATCTGGAGGCTTGGGTTCGATTCTGTTCACTATACTACATCAAACATAAGACGTAAACATAGGATGTGACTGTTCCTTCGCCCAAGCACCCAGCATTAGAAGTGAAAGTAGCGGGACTTTTGGATGAAACCTTAAAATTGAGGCCCTGTGTCAAATAGGCACTGGCACAATAAAAAACCTTCACTGCTCAATGGCTGAGCATAGGTCTAAATTTAAAGTCCTTGGTGATGTCTCTATATAAGTGTAAAATTCTAGAATGGGACGTAAAAGAATATACAATCAATCATCATATGGTTATAACAAATTACAGATATACTGAGGTTCCCAGGACTTCGCTATAACCAAGCTTTACTGTGTTTTCCTTTGTATATTCTTTGAAGTGTCAGAAAAAAACAGGAGGCCCATGGGCCACAATGCTCACCTAAGTCACTATGGCTCCACTGTTCTTCAGAAATTACTGAGTTGACATAATTCAGTAGAATGATGTGTATCTGACTATAACAATCTTAACATTGGTTATTCAAGGTGAGATTTCTTTGCAAATCATATACATTCTATGATGGTATTGAAGCAGATAATTACCGAATCTGTCTGTATCCTGAAATTGAGTTCTCGATGCCCAGCAGCCACGAACACACGAGAGTGAGGATGAGGATAGTCAGTTACACAAGGTTTAAACTGTATATAACCATAGTACTTCATGGTCCTTGCAAGACGCAAGTACTGAAAGAGAAAGCTACGGTAGATTCAACACTTATGCATATATATTAATTTTCTACACAAAGTTGAATATCTACAGATTCAAAAAAGCTCGGTGTAATAAAGGACTTAATTAAAATACATGTACATGGACTAATACTTACATGTATTAATACTGAAATACACATTTGTTTTCTTTTCAACCTGTTTATTTTACCTACACCTTAGCATATCTCACCTCCCTTTTGGATCCCCTTTGTTGTAATGTTGCTAGGTGACGGAGTTGTTCCTTTGTTCCCAGTGTCCATTGTCTTTCAATGTCACTCACTGCCTACAATCAAAGTTAAAAAATAAAAGTTACATGTATATATTTTTTCATAGACTTTACAATAAATGTGTACTTAAGTGACTTTAAAACCTAACACTGAAAACTTCCACTACAGTAACATATACATATACCTGAACATAAACCTAACACTGAAAACTTCCACTACTGTAACATATACATGTACCTAACACTGAAAACTTCCACTACATGAACATATACATAAACCTAACACTGAAAACTTCCACTACATGAACATATACATGTACCTAACACTGAAAACTTCCACTACAGTAACATATACATGTACCCAACACTGAGAACTTCCACTACAGTAACATATACATGTACCTAACACTGAAAACTTCCACTACATGAACATATACATGTACCAAACACTGAAAACTTCCACTACATGAACATATACAGAATACATGTACCTGAACATAGAGGAGATTCATTGCAATTTTATTATCGAGTAAGTCATCTTCATAGGCCAAGTCCCAGATACTGAAAAATAGGGATCAAACTTTAACTAAATGTACACACATTATGCAATTATGCAAAAAAAAACAACAACAAAAACAGGAAAAAATGCCCTTAGGCTTATAATAATTACCGGTATCGTTAAATCCAAATAAGTATGTGTACTTGGAAAGTTCCTAAAATACTTCTCAAACATATTTTATCAGTTTCCTTAATTTCTGCTAGAATATTAGTGTAATTTCATCCCATGTTTGTGTCCATATACTACACATATGGTACATGTATGTATTATTCTTATAAGAAACCTTTTGACTTATATACAGAATGGTACTGCTACATATACACTGTACCTTATATTATATTTATAAATACACTTTATTTCTGCCTATTTGGTGGGTGTTGTGGGATTTGAAGTTTTTACCTTTTGCGCAGGACAATTCTGTGTGAGCCCACATTGTTGGCATACTTCAAGGAAATGTAAGGTGATTCAAATTCCTGTAGTTTTCTGATGACTGGAATAAAAAATATATCTTTGACATGACTTCCTTCAATTAAAATCAATTGATAAAAAATAATTAGTTTTTCAAAAATGCTCTAAGACGGAAGTGAAAGTACAAGTATAAAGTAAGGCATTGGTTATCAATAAAGTGACCATCGGATTCTTACTAGAATTATCTCCACCTTCCTCTTTCTGAACTAGAAATAGACCGAAGTAATAGACAAACTCATCGGGCAGTTCTATCTGTGATGCAACAGCCTGAAACAGGAACCAAAGTTATCAGTTAACATTAATTAAAGCATTAATTAAAGATGATAAAAACCAAATATTCATAATGACTGAAATTCTACAACTAAAAGTACAATAAACATTACCATAATTAATTAAAGCATTTAATTAGAGGTGATAAAGACCAAATACATCCTTTGTCTAAAAATACAAAATTTTCCAAGTGATTATTCAATTGTTAACTATAAATCTACAGACCCTGAAATGTGCTACTAATTCTTCAAAGCATACATCTACTTAATCCCTGTGCCTTTTCTTCAAACCATGTGGAATTTCATTCTCACAGTTCAGTTTCAAACCTTGTAGCATGTCTACATTACTGGGATGGTAGCATGAATCAAGGTCTGTAGTGTTTATTACCTACTCTTTTGTATACAGTCAAACCTCATTTTCTCGAACTCAATGGGACCAAGAAAAAACTTTGAGACATCCGAGAATTCCAGATATCAAGGGTAAAATACTTTAAGAATAAGTGGTTGGGACTTCCAAATCACATCGACATATCCATAGTATTCGAGAAATCAGCATTAGAGATCAGTGTATTAATTTAAATTACACTTCAGGAATAGGGAATCCTCTATTACAAAAGTAATAGTGATTTCTCTACCTCTAAAACATCCTCTGTTTGGTCTGTGGACATGATTTTGACCGTGATCTTATGACCATTCATCAGGTAGACATCAAGGGACACTGCCTCAGATGGCTCCTTTTGGGTCTCCTACAAAAAAGAAGTTGTGTCAGAATATGCCACCAAAATATCCAAGAAAGATAGGTAGAACAGCATCTATACACAATTCTAATTGTAATTCTGCCTATAGAACCATTATTTTATTAAGTTGATTATCTGATAAAGAATTTAATACAAATCCTTTCATTTTAAATCAGAAATGCTAAAATAATCTTAAATATGTACTTCCAAATGAATTCCTTAATTTTCAAAATATCCAACAAAAGAGCCATTGACATGATGCCCATGGGTCACAGCATTCCACTAAGTCATCTTGACCCTGCTTTAGAAGATCTTTTAAGTCTTTTCTTTTTTTTCTGTGCCAATTTGATTTCCTATTGTGACTGTACAATTGCACCTCACAAAACTTGAATCTACTATACATAGGGATGATTCTATATCAAAATGATAATAACAACCATGATGTTTTTCATCAGATTTTTTTTTAAATTCTCCTAATCAATTTGACACCTTACTGGCATACACTCCAAGGGCTTTGATTTGAACAAACCTAAATATTTACTATATAGAAATTAAGTATATTGAATTACTTATATTTATTATTGATTAATATCATCAATATTTATATGACTAATGGTATCCCTCTTATTCTTAAAGATTTTTTCTTATCTATATTTTAATGTCAAAAATTAACCCCCCTATTGTGGCCCCACCTTAGCCCCAAGAGTAATGATTTAAATGAAATTGATATTTTCTACAATGCATGGAAATGCTTATATTATATTATGGATAACTATAGCCCTGTTATTTGACAAAAAAGATTTTTCCAATATATCCCCATATAAAACTTTCACCCTCTATTGTGGCCCCCTCCTACCCATTGGTGGTCATGATTTGAACAAACTTATATATTCTGCTAAAACTTGAATTACTCTCAATAAGGAAGTTTTGTCTTTTCTGGCCAAGTAGTTTTTAAGAAGATGTTTACATTATCTCACCACATTCTCAATATCTCTTTCCTTACTCTCAAATTTGAATCCACTTTAACCAAGGTTTTTGTGGCAAGTTTGGATGAAATTGGCTAAGTGTCGCTGGAGAAAAGGATAGGTTAAAGATACACAATGAACAGAGGGCAATGAACACATTCGAATACGAGCTCATTTAAGCCTTTGGCTCAGGTGAGCTAAAAGCTATGTATTACATAACTTCCTTTGTAAGGTAAAATTGTACAGCAATTAAACAGTATGGTCCATTTACTTCCCTATGTCTAGTTATTTTTAATAAAAGCTGTGCAGAATTTGTTACATGTAAATAAAACGTGAATTATTTTAATTTTTCCATGGTTTTTATATTTATTATACATGTATCAATTTTCAGTAACAATGAAGCCTCATCCTATCCCCCGATTTTTTTTCACTTTAATTTGTATAACAGGTGACAATGCAGAAAATCTCTGGGTCTATCCTAATCTGTACCCTATGTGATAACAGGTGTAAATATAACTTGTTTCATTTATACTTAAATATGACAAGTATAACTAAAAATACTCTGGATTGAGGAAACAATTATAAAAGGCTTAGCCCACTTAAAAATTACCCACTCAACTGACTCAAATGATGAAGTAGGAAGTGCCACTTGTTGAGATATCAAATTGCACCTTATCTTTTTCTCCATTCATTTATAATGGGATCAACAAGAGCAGCACACTCTAGCAGTATCTTTAGAGTAGGGAAAATAATAGAATTCTTGCACTTAAAGAATTCAATATATGTACTATAAATAGATGTAAAGGCCATCAACTATGTTTTTTTATGCATTTTCCCTTAACAAAATGATATACATGTATCTTTATAGTTTTATCAAGCAATCCATTCCATAAAATGGAAAGGATAATGTTGCTATAATGTGGTGTGCAAAACAATGGACAATTTCCTTACCTGTTGTGCTTTCAGAAAAAATCCATTAAATGTGTCAGAATTTGAAATCTGTGGATCCTGGCTTACTATTATTAAAAAAATACATAAATATAGTTAATATTCATATGTATTTTGAATGCTGTCAATAACGAGACCAGGGTTCAACACTAACATTTTTAGGCTTTAGTCTGGCCAGACTAGTGCTTCTTTACTTTTACTAGTACGCACACGATTTTATGAGTCCATCAAAAAAAAAAGAACAGAAAAAGAAACATCAATGTTTTTAAACATTAATTTAAATTGACAATTAACATGATTAATAGACGTTTTATACTTTTTTTTTGAAATAAACAAAGCATTTACGTGAAATACATTATTCCACAGATTCGTTGAAATCTCGCAATCAGCAAGTACGATCGTATTCCCGATCTCGTTTTTTTTTTTTTGTCTTTACATTACATCCAAAACGTCCAACATCTTTCTTTAAAGTGTCATACTAAATCATGATCGCTAAAAACATTTACTTCATATCGATCATGACTCAGAATTGCGTAACTACCCGCCAAAAGCGAGAAATCTAAAAATACACGGAGGTTTTCCAGTAAAAGTTGTCGAGAATCGGACATCGGTTATTTATTCATATTGTTTTCCAGAAATTTTTAATGGTCCGCTCGGACTAATTAGCCACAGATTTTATTAGTCCGAATGAAAATGTGTTAGTCTGAGACTAACGGACTAACGTTAGTGTCGAACCCTGCGAGACTATGTCTGATACCAAATGAATAAATAATAAGAAAATAGGTCATTTTATAAATTTAATATTTCATGAATGTCTGGTATCTCTAATTGCTAGATGCATTCATTATCCATTCATTTCAAGTTTGGTAACTGGCTTGCACTCAGAAACTGACCTTCATTAAAAAGTTTAGAATGGACATTGGTTCATAAAATAAATATAAAATACAATATCCATAGAAGTCTGGTAGTGATGCATCATCCATGCAAGTGTGGTCCAGATAAGGTGTATACAGGTAGGTACTTTGTTAAAACTGCTCCAAAAACTTCTCCAAACACACACTTGAAGATGCCAATAAATAAACTTTCCCCCCACTTAGACAACAACATAGGTAATCAAAGATTACGAAGCTCACCTCGACGAATGTTATCTACATGTAAAGCAAATTTCACATCATATTTTTTTTCTAGTTAGGGTACATCCCAAGATCAATGTCCATGCAAGTTTGATTTAATTATAGACCTGCTCAAAAAACTTTTGACCTGTTTAGTAATCAAGAAAATTTTGGTCACTTCCAACATCCAAAGCAAGTCTGGAAGTTTTCATTCTTAGATGCACCATCTATGCAAGTTTAATCATAACAGGCCATAATATTATATAGCTACTCCAAAAAATTACCCTGGTCACTCATCTGGAAAATGTACATCAGATTCAGAATCCAAGGCAAGTCTGGAAGTGTCCATCCCTAGATACATCATCCATGCTAATTTGGTAAAAATATGGCTAAAATTCACTCATGTGGAAAATCTAGGTCAGATCCAGCATTCGAAGCAGGTTGGTTAGTGTACATCCCTAGATGCATCATCCATGCAAGTTTGGTCCAGGTAGGGCTTATAGTTAATTGGAAACGAGACTACTCCTAAATCTAAACCTGGTCTCACATGTGGAAAATCTAGGTCAGATCCAGCATCCGAAGCAAGTGTGGTAGTGTCCATCCCTGGATGCATCATCCATGCAAGTTTGGTCCGGGTAGGGCTTATAGTTACTTGGGAATGGACCTGCTCCTAAAACTTTAACCTGGTCACTCATCTGGAAAATCTAGGTCAGATCCAGCATCCGAAGCAAGTGTGGTAGTGTCCATCCCTGGATGCATCATCCATGCAAGTTTGGTCCAGGTAGGGCTTATAGTTACTTGGGAATGGACCTGCTCCTTAAACTTTAACCTGGTCACTCATCTGGAAAATCTAGATCAGATCCAGCATCCGAAGCAAGTGTGGCCATGTCCATCCCTAGATGCATCATCCATGCAAGTTTGGTCCAGGTAGGGCTTATAGTTACTTGGGAATGGACCTGCTCCTTAAACTTTAACCTGGTCACTCATCCGGAAAATCTAGGTCAGATCCAGCATCCGAAGTAAGTGTGGCCATGTCCATCCCTAGATGCATCATCCATGCAAGTTTGGTCCAGGTAGGGCTTATAGTTACTTGGGAATGGACCTGCTCCTAAAACTTTAACCTGGTCACTCATCTGGAAAATCTAGATCAGATCCAGCATCCGAAGCAAGTGTGGTAATGTCCATCCCTAGATGCATCATCCATGCAAGTTTGGTCCGGGTAGGGCTTATAGTTACTTGGGAATGGACCTGCTCCTAAAACTTTAACCTGGTCACTCATCTGGAAAATCTAGGTCAGATCCAGCATCCGAAGCAAGTGTGGTAGTGTCTATCCCTAGATGCATCATCCATGCAAGTTTGGTCAAGGTAGGGCTTATAGTTACTTGGGAATGGACCTGCTCCTAAAACTTTAACCTGGTCACTCATCTGGAAAATCTAGGTCAGATCCAGCATCCGAAGCAAGTGTGGTAGTGTCCATCCCTAGATGCATCATCCATGCAAGTTTGGTCCAGGTAGGGCTTATAGTTACTTGGGAATGGGACTTGCTCCTAAAACTTTAACCTGGGACGCCGACGCTAACGCCGACGCCGACACCGACGCCGACGCCGACGCCGGGGGTATAGCATAAGCTCATCTCGACTTCGTCGAGGTGAGCTAAAAAACCAAATTATTTTTTTTTCAAAGTTAACTTCTGCAACTTTTGCAATCTTCTATCTTGTTCAAGACAAACATGGAACAATCATTTATATATTTTGTAGAGAATAAAAACAATGATAAACATGTACATGCAGAGTTTTCCCTAAGAACTGGCTACCAGCCAAATTGACCACTTAAATTGATATAAATGCCACTTAGAAATCAAAATTTAAAACATAACTGTTATAAGGTCCACAGAGATTTTGTTCATAAACCTCAACCCTTAACCTGTTACAATTGATCTCAAACCCTTTTCCTTGAAATACCAGTAAAGGGAAAACACCGTACATGTATAATAATAATTATGATTCATTCAGTTTGTTTTATTTGTTCATTAATTGGATAATTCATCTATATAACATCATCTTCCTTACTGATCTGAATAAATCTCTCTAGCATTTGTCTTCTTTCATCCACTTTTGCAGGCGTCAAAGATAAGAATTTCTTTGGCGGGAATGGGGGCATCGATAATCCACCAAATTCCTTTTTAAGCTAATAAAGAAGATAAACTGTGCTTCATTTTTTTAATTCACAAAACAACAATATAAGAAATAGAAAATTAAAAATTAATAGATGTACTAATTTTAATTACATGTTTAAAAGAAGCAACAATTTAAAATAATAAACAGAAGTCATTAATAATTACCTGCTCATGAAATTGGTGTAAAGCACTATATCTAACACTACAGTGAAAAACTCCATTAATGTGTATGTTGAAACTCTGAAAGTCAAAATGAAAAATCCTTTTTACCATTGTACACAAACATTGTATACTTTCAAACTATCATTTTACAACCAAAACTGACATGTTTCATGGTCTGCAAATACTATATATCTATAGACCAATTAAAACCCCAAATTTACAGAAATCACACTTCTCTCTCACAGCATTTCAGGAATGAAAGTTCTGATTATCTTCTAAAATAAAATTAATTTAAAAAAATAAAATAAAAATTCTACTTTAATATTACTAAGAAGAAAGATTTATCGCATGTTTTAATTCATAATTCAATTTAAATATTTTGCGCATGTTTCCTTAATAAAAAGAAAAATCTTTGTACATAATTGCCTCCCCCCAACCCCCTCCCCCAATCAAGGAAAAAAGAACTCTTATCAAGGCTGCATTAATTTTGAAAGTGGTTAAACTTGCCAAATTTTAAAAAAAAGGATTAGCAAACTATAACAATCTTCTAGCTGCTTTGTGTTGTGGCTCTTTCATCATGTTTAAGAAGTTTTATTCTTTATTTAGTTCATTTTTGGTTCAGACACTTTATTGAGTTGAGATCATTGATGCATAACTGCCTAATTCGTCAACTTCTTATTAATAAAGCATATTCTGTGTCAACTTGTTTCTGTATTCAAGTTTACTAAATAATAACACAATGTATTTAACTTCAAATTATGTGACATTCCTCCCTCCCCAGAACTACATTCATATGCTTTTATTGAGAAAACGCTGGGGTCTCAAAAAAAAAATCAAACAAGTGCTTGTAGTCAAAATCTAATAGGCCCCTATTTCAAGTCGTTATAAACAGGTCTAGGAAAATCACTATATTTAGCTATATAGCTAAATCTACCTATATAGCTTTATTTACCTATATAATATAGCTTTATTTAGCTATTTCAGAGTAAATTTCTGTTTTATGAAAAGCAGACAAAAAGTCGCATAATGAGGCAGTATTAGTTTTCAACTTTGAAATGGACTGAAAACAATTCACCAAAAACCCACTTTTAAAAATGTTTCTCCTTTTGTGCAATTGCAGTCAAAGATCTAAAAGTTTTGGGGCTATGTATAACAGTTAATCTGTGAATAAGCAGCTACTTTAACAAAGAAAAGCAGTTTTGGTCAACAAGATAATTGATTGGTAATAATTCAGCACAATGCAAGGCAATCACACTTAGTCATGCCTCATCGCACTTCCAGTAATGGACAGCTATCCAAACAATAGAGATGCATTTTTTGGTTAAAAAGTGTTTAAAAGAGGCAATGTTTTTACTATCTATGCCCTAGGTTGTTTTTATCAAACCTTTTTAAAAAAGTATCAGCCATAATTTTCATGCGACTTTTTGTTTGCTTTTCATAAAACAGAAACTTATTCTAAAATAGCTAAATAAAGCTATATTATATAGGTAAATAAAGCTATATAGGTAAATTAAGCTATATAGCTAAATATAGTGATTTTCCTGGACCTGATAAACAAACATGTTGTGATCATTTACCGTGTATGTCGACCCCGTTTCGTCTTTAAGATCTTGTGTATCTGGTATTGAAAAATGCATCCTCGTGTGTTGCTTATCAAACTCTGTCAAAAACCTCACAACTCATGGCAGTGTTTTCGTCATAAAATTTTCCACCCCTTAAACTTCCGCCATTTTGGAAAAATGACATATCACGTGATCTGTGTTTACTCACGAGCATCGAGCATCTAGACCGTTGTCTAATTTTCTTAAAATTTAAGCAATTAAAAAGTATATTTATTTTTTATATGTTATCAATCACCCATACTTAGTGACCAGTTTTGTTCTTCTTCTTTTTCTTTTTTTTTTGTTGTTGACTAACTTTTCCGGAATTGTACCATTATGGTTTTTGTATATAACTCATTCTCGACATTTCCTGTTAAGTAAAATGGCAGATGAACAGCAAGAAAATTTATCAACTTATAGATTGCAATTACAGCAGGTAAAACACCTTTTATCACTGATACCTACTAAAATCATTTTTTAAACTTGTAATCCAGTCGAAGATTTGTTTCAGAATAGCAAGTTATGAGTATGTACAAGATATAGACCTATTCTTTTTCTCTTCAGTACTTCTGTTTGGGTATCTTTTTTTCTTTACATAAATTACTTGCAATTGATGACATATTCACAATGGAGACAAGATCGATTAGCACATTCCAGTCGCTTTAAAAAAAAAAAAACAAAGAGTTCATGGATGATATTTTTTGATGATGTTAAATAAAACAATCACTGCATAGATAGTAAAAACATTGCCTCTTTTAAACACTTTTTAACCAAAAAATGCATCTCTATTGTTTGGATAGCTGTCCATTATTGGAAGTGCGATGAGGCATGACTAAGTGTGATTGCCTTGCATTGTGCTGAATTATTACCAATCAATTATCTTGTTGACCAAAACTGCTTTTCTTTGTTAAAGTAGCTGCTTATTCACAGATTAACTGTTATACATAGCCCCAAAACTCTTAGATCTTTTATTGCAATTGCACAAAAGGAGAAACATTTTTAAAAGTGGGTTTTTGGTGAATTGTTTTCAGTCCATTTCAAAGTTGAAAACTAATACTGCCTCATTATGCGACTTTTTGGTCTGCTTTTCATAAAACAGAAATTTACTCTGAAATAGCTAAATAAAGCTATATTATATAGGTAAATAAAGCTATATAGGTAGATTTAGCTATATAGCTAAATATAGTGATTTTCCTAGACCTGATCACTGCTAAAATAACCACAGGTACTTGGGTCTTGGTTTAATATGTTTTACGGTGTGACCGTTGGGGCGAGCGCAGTTGTACCATCAAAAAGCTATAGCAGCTTACACTTGTAACGTTGATCCGCCTCTTCAAACGTCAAACCGCACGAGACACAGTCTAGACTGTGACGTCACAGGGCATCGGAATTTACGGAGACAGCCGAGCGTCTGGTTGAATGAGACTAAAGATCTTGTGCAATAATAAATGAAATACGTTGTAGAGTAGATGTAATTATTTTTTGTTTCTTTTTAGCTCTCTGCGAAGTAAATGTATTTCTCGGTAATGAATAATTATCCTTGGTCTTTTGTATGTTTTATAAGAATTTCGCATGGAACCCTGGTAGCGAAGGAATTCTGAGAATGTTGCACCAGAAAATTTGCCTGACGTATGTACAGATTTCATTCCGAATTTTCTCTGTTCTTACACGTTAGTCTATTGAGCTCACTTCGCGAGCGGCACTCTGCGCCGCTATAAATATGTAAGGTGTCCAGTCAACTTGTACACAACTCGACTCGTACACAAACAGACTCAAACACAAGGAGTCAACTCGGGTAGACATTACTTTACCGGTCCCCAGATCCACAGGATCCACGATCTCGTTGTACTATGACATAAGATTTACGTCACTCAACTGATGAGGGTTAGTCTTGCACACTACTTGAATGGTAGCATTCAACTGATTAGAGTTAGTCTCATATTCATCATGAGATAAGGGTTAGTCCTCGCACATTATTTGACTGATTAGGGTTAGTCTAGCATCTGCCCGGGAGATTAGGGTAACGCATACCATCCTCAAATACCATCCAAGAGATTAGGGCTAGTGACTCGTTCTTTTAGATAAATTAAGAAATTCAGTTGCTTCTGTATTTTTTGCAAGATCTCAATTCAGCTTCAACGGCACCAACATATTAAATGTGGGTTCAAGTTTGGTAAAATCAAAACTTTTTCAGTTGCTGGTTTGGAGCTAAAATAGAGTTTAACTTTTTTCAAAGGAGTATAAAGATAAAAAAAAAATTTTTAAATGATGAAAAAAAGCAGACTCAAGTGAGCAGTATGGCCCATGGGCCTCTTGTTTACTTTGACTAGCTGACCATGAACTGCAGATTTGATGCCAGATTAAGCCTTTACACATGTTTTTTATAGTCAATGTTCTCTAAGCACAAACTCTTCTAGGAGAAATTCAATCTAAGACACAAAATATTTAACATTCTAGGTTGAAGCTTCTTTGACAACAGATCCAGATAATGAAGACCTCAACAAGCTCAAGAAAGATCTACAGGTGAGCTTTTATTGTCACATATTTGACATCAACCAAGGTGCAAGTGGGTTGGGAAAATGTTATTTTCAAATCAAACTTTTTTCTCAAAAAATCAAAATAGTACATGCAGAACCAAAGGTATGAAAACTGTTGTCTAAATATACAAGAGAAAACAGATTGTGAATAACTGAACATATCCAAATTCTTATTGTACTGCTTATGTTGAAAAATTTTTACAAAAAAATTGAATTGTTTTTAAGATTTAAAATTCAGCGCAAAGAAACTATATGTAATTTGGCACTGTATAAATTAATAAAATAAAATAATAATTTGAGAATTCGAAATCGAAATCATTTGATTTTAATTATTTTGGTACATCATTTTCAAATTTATATAATTGATGTTCATTTTACATTTTTAAAAGAAGAAGCAAAATGGTAATGGCCATTGGCATATCTTTTCTGATGAAGGTTGAAAGTAGGTTTATGGAGGGTGGGTAATATGTCTTAAAGGATACATTATCAATCCAAAACATCTTAATGTGTTTAGAGTCTTATATTTTTAGACGAGCGCTACATGGATTTTCTTGTAATTCCGTTGTGTCAAGAGAAACCTGATGAGTAAGTACAGATAGGGGACACAACTCTGTACCAAAGTTGGGTATGATACAGGTTCAAGATTGCAATGTCTTATTTGGCATTGCACATTAAGTAGGTTTAAAATAATTTTCCCCTGATAAATCTTTGTTAAGGTAGGTTTAATCACTTGCACAAAAAAGAAATGTTTTATATCTGATTTGTGAAGAATTTCATAATCACACTGAAATAAAATTGGTAGATGTGTTTCTTCTTGAGCTTAGACACATTGATTTCTTTTTTATTATTATTTGACTTTTTCTCTAATATTTAAATTACAGCTTACAATCATTAATATTGTAACATGAAAATAGATTTTTACAGAAGTTTACCTTGAGTGAACAGTGTTATAGTACAAGTATATTTTAGTGTATAAACCTCTTTAATATAATTGAGAATCTCTTAATTAATACTTAAAATATTAGCTATACAAAAATTTTCAAGCCTGATACATTTAATTAAGACATAACTTAAAATATTAAATATACAAAAATTTTCAAGCCTGATATATTTAATTATGACATAACAAAGGCAATTCCATAAATAGCAAGATTTTGTTTCTTATCACCATTGTATGTTTCATACATAAAACAGTTCAAACACCAAAATTTGGGGATTGAATTTCTCTCGGTGGAAATGTTTTGAAAAAAAGACATACAAGTAGTAAACATTTAGATTCTGTTAAATGTATACAACATTGATTTTAAACATTCAAATGGTATGTGCTTAAAATAAATTCAAATCTTGCGATAATTTCAAGCTTTTTGCTCAAGAAAACATCCTTCACTATAGTTTCAAATTGTTGAGAGAATGAAAACATAATTCATGGTACAGCAAATCAAGGAAAGAGTAAAACTACATGTATAAATTAAAATTGATTTTAAAAAATGAAGTATTGTTAAGATGAAAAAAATCTGCCTAATTTGCATTTAAAAACTTGTGAGTGATCTATCGTAAATTGTTTAATATTCAATTTTCTAATATGTCTAGATTGATGTATAATTTCCAGGAGGTCATAGATCTGACAGAAGAACTCATTGGAAACAAACAGTTGGCAGCGATTGCAGCTGATGCCAGTATCTCAGGAAGTAGTCTGGGATCAACAGAGGATACTGGTCCTGTAGAATGGCAAGTCGGAGACCCGTGTCTGGCCATTTGGTCTAAAGACGGACAGTAAGTTTATGTGTTATCAGACTTTCTTTATGCTCGTCTTAAGACAGGAAGTATTATGGTATGGCATTCATGTCCGTTCGTCTGTCTGTCTGTTAGCTTTTTCGTGTCCACCTCATAACTAAAATACTATGAGACCTAGAATAATCAAATTTTGTCAGCAGATACATCTTGGGTAGATTTGTTGCACCTAAAAGGCAAGTCCCTGCGGTCTTTAATTAAGATGATAAGGCCAAATATTGCAAAATCCTGTCCAGCTCATAACTGGAAAACTATTAGGCCTAGAATCATCAAACTTTGTCAATTAATGCATCTATAATAGGTAGAAGGAGTGTTGCATCCTACTTAAAGTTCACTATGACCTTTAATTAAGGTGAAAGAATGAGTGAACTTAAGAGTCCCAAAAAAAAGCTGTAAATTGAAGTTTTAAAAAGTTTATTTCTTTCCATAATTTAAATCATGGATATCTTAACTGTGTATTCTTGATACATATATGAATGTTAAACACTTTTTTCAAGGAAAACCAAATAAATATTGAAGGCATAGGGTATGAAGATTTTTTGAATATCAATAGATGATCAGGGTCACACTTTTTTCATTGTCTTATTACATAGTCATTGCAAGTTTGTCAACTTTTCTTTAAAAAACCATAGTTGTATATTGAACAAAATAATGTCATATTAAAAGGATATGAACCGACAAACATGCGCTCATACTTAATTTTACAAAGAAAAGGTGTTCAGTGCAGACTTGTGGCTTCCATTGTTATTACATTTTGTTCAGGATTGTTTAATTTTATTCTATAACAAAGTTATTGTACATATATTATCCAGTCTTCAAGTTCAACTGTTTCTGTTAAAAAATGTGCACACCAACAGTTAGATGAAATAGAGGTACTTATTTAATGGAGACACAGATTGCAAATGTGACTGTGATGTAAGGCAAACATATTGTGTCATCATGTCATCTTGGTAGGAGTCAGCACTGATTAACTGATCACAAATAATTTTATAGCCTTGCAAATTCTTCCACATATTTTTAGATACTATGAAGCAAAAATTGATGAGATATTGGAAGATGGAACATGTGCAGTCACTTTTGAGAACTATGGAAACACAGATGTGACAGAGGTTTGTGGAATTTTGTTCATGCTATGCATAATTGCATGCATCTTTGCTGAGTAATGAGATAATATGAAAGTTTTTTTTTTTACAATTTAGTTATTTTTAGCTCACCTGAGCCAAAGACTCAAGTGAGCTTTTCTGATCGAAAAGTGTCTGATGTTTGTCTAGCTGTCTGTCTTTCTGTTGTCTTTTTCTCAAGAACAGCAAAACCATGATGAATCATATTAATTTAGGAAGTGTAGATTTAAGTTTGTAAAAAATCAGGATCCCCGAGAGTAGGGTGGGCCACAACAGGGCATCCAAGTTTTACATAGGAATATATAAGATATATCTTTAACTTCTCAAGAACAACAAAACCATGTCAGTAATATTTATATGGAAGCATTCTCAGGTAGTGATTTTCTGTTCAAATCATGACCCCTGGGACTTGGGTGCTGCCACAATGGGCAAATTTTTGCCTAGGAATATAAAATAATTTTTTTTAAAAATCACTGAAAAAAGAACAGCAGGACCATGATTAGAAATGTAAATATGCAAGCATCCCCAGGTAATGCAGATTCAAATTTGTTCCAGTCATTCTCCCCTAGGAAGAGTGGTACCAAATTATGGACCAAAATTTTATGTAGAAAGATATAGGAGAAAAAAATCTTTAAAAATTTCTTCTCAAGATCAGGAGAGCTATATTTATATTAATAAGGTAACATCCTCAGAGAGTGTAGAAATCAGGACCCCTGGGGATGAGTAGGGGCAACAATAAGAGATAAAATATTTTACATGGGAATACATAGGAAAAATTTTCAAATTTTTTTTTCTTGAGCACAGCAGGGTCATGATATGCCAGCATTATCAGGTAATGCAGATCCAAGTTTGTTCCATTCAATTCAGGGTTGTCCCTAAGGATTGAAATAAAAGGGGACATTATAAAAGGGGTTTGAGTTTTTTCCCCTAACAAGGGTTTGAGGGGGAATACCAGAATAACTGGAATTATGTCCTTAATAGCTGGGAAATTCCTTGGCCCATGGATCTTAGGGACAACTCAGCAGTCATGGTCTTGGTGAAGGTTGGAGCTACAATTGAGGATAAAAATTTACAATGTATGCGTAAATAGGAAAAAATCTTTAAAAATTGTTTGCATGGGGGGTCATATATTGAAATTTATTTCACAATGTTCCTTTCATTTATTCATGAATTTATAGGGGCAATCTGCATAAGTTTGATAACAAAAACCTTGTCAAACTATAAAATGTATTTGACATAAGTCTAAGCCAATTCCAAGTGGGCTCAAAGTGGTCATAGTCTGAAAAAAAATTATGATACTCAGGCGACAGTTAAGGCCCATGGGCCTCTCATCTCTTCTCACAAATGTACCGGTATATTTATTGCACTCATTATGTTGATGATCACATCAGTAATATACATTCAGGTTAAACTATTACGAAAAGTTGATCCATCCCAGCAGAAAAAGGAATCAGAGAAGAAAACTAAATCAAAGTAAGTAGAAGAATTTTAAATAATGAAAATAAAACTATTATTTTTATTTACCTGATTAATTGAGAACAGATATCTAGATATCTGAAATATCAATCTCCTGTTTAGACCCTCTGTCTGTCTGTATGTCAAGGGTTGAAGCTTTCAATATTTCAATATCTGCTCTAATTAAATTTTTTTGCAAATGAGGTAAGAAATATACATTATTTTTGTCTATTCTGTGCAGAGAGATTCTAAAAATTTCTGAGTATTTACTACATACAATAAGTAAAAGCAACTTCATATACAAAGATTTATGTACTTTTTTGGGAATTCAATGTTTGGTAATATTTCCCCCCACTTTCACTGAAAGTGGGGGATATTAATTTGGTACTGTCTGTCTATCCGTCCATCCATCTGTCTGTATTTCTGTCTGTGTGTAACACTTTCATTTCAGGACAATATCTCAAGAAGCCTATTAGATTTTGCAATGAAATTTTATGTCAGAACTCCCTATGGGTGAAAAAAGATCCCTATTGATTTTGAAGTCAAAAGGTCCCCCACAAAAATTTGTGCTTCTACAGTATATGAGAATTTTATTTTCTCTCATGTTTGATTGGGACAAATATAATAAGTACATGTACATGTATTATAATAATGTCCACTTGGAATATTTAATTTGGTCATCTATAAATTCTAGACGAGATATAATAGCAGAACAGAAGGAATATAGGAGGAAGAAACAACAGAAGAAAGCTCAGCGACTCAAACAGATGGAGGAGGAAAGGGAAGTGGAAAAGAATAAGTGGCTGGACTTTAACGCAAAGGTACACCAAGTCAGAAATTAGAACAATAGAAGTCAATGGAAAATTTAATGAGAGGCAGCAGTGGTTAAAAAAGAAAACACATTCTGTATTTAAATAGCAAGTTTTCCATCACAAATTTAAAGAACATTGCATTACATTATCCCTCCAACACACACATACACTTGAACTTTGGTATCTTGAACACTGATATCTCGAATATCATGAATATGTCGAAGTGATTTGGAAATCCCAATTGCTTATTCCTTAAGTAGTTTACCCTGGATATCTCAAACCCTCAGATATCTCGAAGTATTTTCTTAGTCCTATTGAGTTCGAGATAACGAGGTTTGACAGTACTTGAAAAAGACCTTTCTCTCTGTAGAATAGCTTTCAATAACTCATTAGTACATAGCACCGAGGATACCAACACTGTAGATCTGTAGTTACATGTACATGTATGTCATCACTTCCTTTATTTTTCTGAAATTCACTACATTAACACCTGTGAGAAAACAAATGTTGTCTTAAACAATGCACATTCATACATATACATGTATTGAAAAACCATTTGATTCATAGTCATCTTTCTTAGCAACCCAGTATAAAATGTTGATTATCCTTTATAATTTTTAGTTCAAAAGAACACTTGTTAGCTCACCTGAGCTGAAAGCTCAAGTGAGCTTTTCTGATCACCCATTGTCCGTCCTCCGTCCGTCCGTCCGTCTGTCCGTCCGTCTGTAAACTTTTCACATTTTCAACTTCTTCTCAAGAACCACTGGGCCAATTTTAACCAAACTTGGTACAAAGTATCCTTAGGTAAAGGGGAGTGTAAATTGTTAAAATAAAGGGCCAAGTCCCCTTACAAGGGGAGATAATCAAGAAAAGACAAAAATAGGGTGGGGTCATTAAAAATATTCTTCTCAAGAACCACTAGGCCAGAAAAGCTGAAACTTATGTGGAAGCATCCTGGGATAGTGTAGATTCTAAATTGTTCAAATCATGACCCCCGGGGGTAGGGCGGGGCCACAATAGGGAATCCAAGTTTTACATTGAAATATATAAGAAAAATCTTTAAAACTCTTCTTCTCAAGAACCACTGGGCCATAAAAGCTGAAACTTATATGGAAGCATCCTGGGGTAGTGTAGATTATAAGTTGTTCAAATCATGACCCCCGGGGGTAGGGCGGGGCCACAATAGGGAATCCAAGTTTTACATTGAAATATATAGGAAAAATCTTTAAAAATCTTCTTCTCAAGAACCACTGGGCCAGAGAAGCTGAAACCTATATGGAAGCATCCTGGGGTAGTGTAGAATCTAAATTGTTCAAATCATGACCCCCGGGGGTAGGGCGGGGCCAATAGGGAATCAATTTTTACATTGAAATACATAAGAAAAATCTTTAAAAATTTTCTTCTCAAGAACCACTGGACCAATAAAGCTGAAACTTATTTGGAAGCATCCTGAGGTAGTGTAGATTCTCAATTGTTCAAATCATGACCCCTGGGGGTAGGGCGGGTCCACAATAGGTATTACAAGGGGGGAAATCTGGTAAAGAACAGCATGGCCAAAGTTACTCAGGTGAGCGATGTGGCCCATGGGCCTCTTGTTTTTCTGCTATACTTTCTTTCCAAATGTCTGATCAGTAAAATACATCGTCAAAAGTCAGTGCTTAGTAATCCGCATTTCATACACAGGTTGGTCAGAGTAGAAAACAAATGATTTTTCAGGTGAAAGATCACCTGATTTTCTGTTCTACCCATTATGAATACTTGTATTTGACCTTGTCATCATAAATTTTCACATCAAAACAGCAGGTTTCTTTTGTTGTTCTTCTTGCATTCTTTTGCATATTGGCCAATTCATTTTGCTTTTGCTTGATAGTCATCAAAATATGTCAAGATTTTTGCTAGAACATGAGCAGAATCTGTAGTGAAAGGATGGGGTAAGGAGCTATACTGTATGTAAAAATACTTCTTGTCAAGACTTCGAAGGTACTTAAGTTTTAACTCAAGCATTATGAGTACAAACTCTTTTTTTCAGACTTTTGCCAAAACAAACAAAGGAAAGGTGAAAAAGAGTATCTTTGCTACTCCAGATGCAGCCAATGGAAAAGTGGGAGTGGGCACATGTGGGCAGGGAGGTAGGCCAATGACCTCATTCCAGCATGCAGAAAAATGGAGGAAGTGAAATGAGGATTTTACATGATATGTACACCCATGTTTGTGTGACTCTAAGGTGCTCATGTACTAGAATTGAAAGGATATTTTGAAGACAGCAAGCAAAACCCCCTTGGAGGGGTGCAAGTGTTTTGAATGGATGTAATGGTCATGCTTAATCCAATCTTTTCTCAAACAAGATCTTAGACTGAACAGATCAGTTTGTTACAATTTGACAACAGCAGTTGCTAGAAAAGTGTTTAGGTCATACAAACTTTGTTTTTAGATAGTTGAAGTGGAAGAAATTTTTTCACTGGAAAACTTTATAATATATTAAATAGATGTAATTTTCAAAAAAATAATCTGCAGTCAGTTTATTGAACTTTAAATTACATGAAATAGCACATATATTTTTAAAAACACATACAGTACAACTCATTTACATCACAGAATAAATCACAGGACATAGACAAAAACATACATGTACATATATACCTTTTTATTGTATAAAACATTTGTGACACACAGTGGCAAGCATATTTTGAATGCAATATGAGAGGGATTTTTATATGTACTTTATTTTATTTCACATCATGTAAAATTACCATGGTAAATCTAGTATTGTGTTTGATATCATGCCTAATAAATTGTAAATTCTTCATTTTCTGACTTATTAATATTATTTTATATAACTTGCAGAACATTAAAGCCGATTATGGTAATTGTAATTAAAAATGTTCATGAAATACTATAGCAACATATAAGTCATGAAATTATACAGAAAATTTGAGAAAATATTAACTTCAAATCTGTGTCCAAGCACCTTTAAGGGTATCCCCAACAATTAAAAAACTTAAATATACACCAAATTACAAATATATAATCGTACAAAGAGAACTTCATGGATTACTTAAATAACAAGAGGCCCATGGGCCACATCGCTCACCTGAGTAACTTTGGCCATGCTGTTCATTACCAGACTTCCCCCCTTGTAATACCTTTTGTGGCCCCGCCCTACCCCCAGGGGTCATGATTTTAACAATTTAGAATCTACACTATCCCAGGATGCTTCCACATAAGTTTCAGTTTTTCTGGTCCAGTGGTTCTTGAGAAGATTTTTAAAGATTTTTCCTATATATTTCAATGTTTCGCTATTGTGGCCCCGCCCTACCCCCGGGGTCATGATTTGAACAATTTAGAATCTACACTATCCCAGGATGCTTCCACATAAGTTTCAGCTTTTTTGGCTCAGTGGTTCTTGAGAAGAAGATTTTTAAAGATTCTTCCTATATATATCAATGTAAAACTTGCATTCCCTATTGTGGCCCGCCCTATCCCCGGGGGTCACGATTTGAACAATTTAGATTCTACACTATCCCAGGATGCTTCCACATAAGTTTCAGCTTTTCTGGCTCAGTGGTTCTTGAGAAGAAGATTTTTAAAGATTTTTCCTATATATTTCAATGTAAAAATTGGATTCCCTATTGTGGCCCCGCCCTACCCCTGGGGGTCATGATTTGAACAATTTAAAATCTACACTACCCCAGGATGCTTCCAAATAAGTTTCGGCTTTTCTGGCTCTGTGGTTCTTGAGAAGAAGATTTTTAAAGATTTTTCCTATATATTTCAATGCAAAACTTGTATTCCCTATTGTGGCCCTGCCCTACCCCCGGGGGTCATGATTTGAACAACTTAGAATCTACACTATCCCAGGATGCTTCCACTTAAGTTTCAGCTTTTCTGGCTCAGTGGTTCTTGAGAAGAAGATTTTTAAAGATTTTTCCTATATATTTCAATGCAAAACTTGTATTCCCTATTGTGGCCCTGCCCTACCCCGGGGGCTCTGATTTGAACAATTTAGAATCTACACTACCCCAGGATGCTTCCACATAAGTTTCGGCTTTTCTGGCTCTGTGGTTCTTGAGAAGAAGATTTTTAAAGATTTTTCCTATATATTTCAATGCAAAACTTGTATTCCCTATTGTGGCCCTGTCCTACCCCCGGGGGTCATGATTTGAACAATTTAAAATCTACACTATCCCAGGATGCTTCCACATAAGTTTCAGCTTTTCTGGCTCAGTGGTTCTTGAGAAGAAGATTTTTAAAGATTTTTCCTATATATTTCAATGTAAAACTTGGATTCCCTATTGTGGCCCCGCCCTATCCCCCGGGGTCATGATTTGAACAATTTACAATCTACACTATCCCAGGATGCTTCCAAATAAGTTTCGGCTTTTCTGGCTCAGTGGTTCTTGAGAAGAAGATTTTTAAAGATTTTTCCTATATATTTCAATGTACAACTTGGATTCCCTCTTGTGGCCCCGCCCTACCCCAGGGGGTCATGATTTTTACAATTTAGAATCTACACTACCCCAGGATGCTTCCACATAAGTTTCAGCTTTTCTGGCTCAGTGGTTCTTGAGAAGAAGATTTTTAAAGATTTTTCCTATATATTTCAATGCAAAACTTGTATTCCCTATTGTGGCCCTGCCCTACCCCCGGGGGTCATGATTTGAACAATTTAGAATCTACACTATCCCAGGATGCTTCCACATAAGTTTCAGCTTTTCTGGCTCAGTGGTTCTTGAGAAGAAGATTTTTAAAGATTTTTCCTATATATTTCAATGTAAAACTTGGATTCCCTATTGTGGCCCCGCCCTATCCCCGGGGGTCATGATTTGAACAATTTAGAATCTACACTATCCCAGGATGCTTCCAAATAAGTTTCGGCTTTTCTGGCTCAGTGGTTCTTGAGAAGAAGATTTTTAAAGATTTTTCCTATATATTTCAATGTAAAACTTGGATTCCCTCTTGTGGCCCCGCCCTACCCCCGGGGGTCATGATTTGAACAATTTAGAATCTACACTACCCCAGGATGCTTCCACATAAGTTTCAGCTTTTCTGGCTCAGTGGTTCTTGAGAAGAAGATTTTTAAAGATTTTTCCTATATATTTCTATGTAAAACATTGATTCCACATTGTGGCCCCGCCCTACCCCCGGGGGTCATGATTTGAACAATTTAGAATCTACACTACCCCAGGATGCTTCCATATAAGTTTCAGCTTTACTGGCCCTGTGGTTCTTGAGAAGAAGATTTTTTAATGACCCCACCCTATTTTTGTCTTCTCTTGATTATCTCCCCTTGTGAGGGGACTTGGCCCTTCATTTTAACAATTTAAATTCCCCTTCACCCAAGGATGCTTTGTACCAAGTTTGGTCAAAATTGGCCCAGTGGTTCTTGAGAAGAAGTCAAAAATGTGAAAAGTTTACAGACGGACGGACAGACAGACAGACAGACGGACAGACGGACGGACGGACGACGGACAAAATGTGATCAGAAAAGCTCACTTGAGCCTTCGGCTCAGGTGAGCTAAAAATGTCATCTTCAAATTCTGAATAATTTCTCTTAAACATGTTAACCTGTATAAGCAGACAACTTTTTTTTCTTGCGCAAGTTCTGATAAAATGCTATGGAAAAGAGTAGTTGTAAAGTTTAAATTTGAATGTGTAACTGTGACTTAATATAAACTTGTAATATAAATGTAGAGGAGGGGGTAACAAGTTTTTAGAACTTGTCTCCAATTCCTTTGTAATTATAAATTAATACAATAAAAATATATTCAAACCAATGCCATGAAAATTCAGGTTTACCATTATAGTACAGTACAGTGGTTCCCGTTTTATCGAATAGTCAAGTTGTCAGCATAGTTTTATCCGAATAGCCGAAAATTAGAATAGCCGATTGCTCCATACCGAGTCCAAAGATAGATGTATAGAGCTACATGTATTGATAATACATCGTTGCTAGCAAATTTCAAGCTTGCACTTTTGTTTTCTTTTGACATGTTTACTTAATGACTTTACTAAAAATAATTTATTTCACTTACTTATGAATTTAATATGAAATTTTTTATCAAATAAATTGACGTATAGAGTATATTCTTTGATAGTTATTGCCATCTTTCTTCAGCACATGTTTACATTCCTTCTTCGATGGTCGCCATTTTGGAAAAGGAAGTAGACTAAATGCTTGACTAATAACCGTAAACTATTTTTCCCTGGATAGATTGTAAATTGAAAATAAACAAAAATATTAAATATATGTAATTGTTTCCTTTTGATTTGTTTCTTTAATACGGTTACGTATTTTATACTGTGTGTGAGTTTACCAGTCTCGTTCTTGTCTGCTGAAGAGAGATTTTGAGAGCCATGTCGAGAAAGTTGGTATGAATTTTGAGACGTATTTTTATAGAACGAGCCATTTGTGATTTTTACCATAAATTTTGCACTGAAAAGTGAATAAATATTAAGCCAATTTACCAAGTTAAATGATTGAATAGGGTTATTTCATTATCCAAGCAAATTGTCATACACAAGCTAATCAGTTCAATAATTAAAATTTCATGCCGAAAAAATTGCAGATAACTGTCATAATTAAGAAGTGCATCATTGAACCCAAGCTGATCACCACAACTGTAATCAAAACATATCTATTTACTATGCCCACTATTGACACAGGTAAGGTGCCTGTGTGCGTCCAGGCGTAACTTATCCCCTCATTGTCGTACTCAAGCCAGTCAAGGTAATTGGTGTCAAACTGTAAACAAAGGCTTCACATACGAAGATGGAGCAGGGCTCGACATTAATTTTTTCCCCTACTTGTCCAATCAGGCAAGTGACCAAGACATTTACTTGTCCGAACTTCAACTTCACTGGTCTGAAATTTGTTCAATAAAGATACAATACTGTCAACTTGAAAACTAATATAAAGTCCATTACATGTGATTCATTCGTGATGTTATTGATAAATACAACAAACACATGAAAACAAACTTTTATCTAGACTTTCTATCCTGACAACAACATAAATGTTCACAAACATCAAACAGAACCTAAACTTCGTAACTCGACGTAACTTCATGCCCTCCTTTGCAGTAGTATCCCAGCTAGCACAAAAACATTTTTAAAATGTTTTTAAAACATTTTCAAAATGTTACGAAAACATTTTCAAAAATGTTTTAATCACGTGATTTTGTATGGTTTTTTAAACGTTTTTAAAACATTTTAGCATAATGTTTCAGCAAATGTTATCAGAACATTTTATTAAAATGTTACGAAAACATTTTCAAAAATGTTTTAATCACGTGATTTTGTATGGTTTTTTAAACGTTTTTAAAACATTTTAGCATAATGTTTCAGCAAATGTTATCAGAACATTTTATTAAAATGTTATGAAAACATTTTCAAAAATGTTTTAATCACGTGATTTTGTATGGTTTTTTAAACGTTTTTAAAACATTTTAGCATAATGTTTCAGCAAATGTTATCAGAACATTTTATTAAAATGTTATGAAAACATTTTTGAAAATGTTTTAGTCACGTGATTTTGTATGGTTTTTAAAACGTTTTTAAAACATTTTACCCTAATGTCGCAATGACATCTCTTTCCTAAAATGTCACTTAACGTTTTCATTAAATGATATCAACATCATTTGTATGATTTTTCAAAGCGCTTTTCATACATTCCAGCTTAATTAATTAATCACATCTGAATGAATTCACTTTTTACAAATTTTAATACAAATCCTTATTTAATATGAAACACATATTTTAGTTCTATTTCCAGTACAAGTTTTGAGTTATTCTGTTTTAATCCAACAGGTATTTTTAAAGGAAAAAATCCATTCTCTGAATTTCAAAACAGCAGAATCACATAAATCCTTCCAACTAGAAAGAATAAACAGACCTAGGTCACTGTTATCATTTACGATCCCCCAAAAAGCATGTATCTACATGTACATGTGTAGGTTCCACAGAGTGGCGGATCTATTATATAAATGGAATCGCACACATTAATAAAGTTCACAAGAAGTCTGTCCTAGGAAAGAATTGAACAAGAAGCTCTTTTCTGTAAAGCAGAATCTGTAAACATAGAGGCAACAGTGTTAAAGTCATCCGTCTACATCAGATCTTTAAATAATGAAAATGTACACGAACATTTTTTTAAATAATAAAATCACATAAAATTTTCCATTTGCATTAATGAAAAGAATTAGAGTTGTTGCATGTTCATAACTAAAACACAATAATATTATTGAAGAGCAATGATATTTACGTACAAAAAAATGCCTTTATCAGCTAGAGGCGGTTCTTTCAAACGTGGCTATTTGAATGAAATTCAAGTCTGTTGATGGAACTGTCATCTAACTGCAATATGATTTCATGTTTCAATAATAAGATATTTTGAATTTTGATCAACATAAGACAAGGAGGCATATTTGTTGTTTTCTAAAGTATTCAAATTCAAATACATAATAGCTTTGTTCTGCTACTCATATGTATACATGTATTCAGAAATAAAATGATGTACTGGTAACAGAAGAGTCACTTTTAAAAATTATCTTTTGAAATCTCTGAAGAAATTATACTCACAAAGCAGGTGTTAATAATCCAGCGCTAATTCTGGCTTATATGATGCAAAAATCTTGTTTGAAAATCAGCAACAAGAAAACGCACACATCCTGTTTACCAGAATTCAAATTTTGGCGTAGATAAGCTGCAAACCACTATACTCTCTAACGCGCTGCCCAGCAGGAGAATTGCATAACAAGGTTATCATGACACTGAAACTGACCAGTGTAGCCACTCCTAATCTGCTGTCTTGGAGTTTAAGAAATATGATGCAAACAGACAAGATCGACGTCAAAAATCAGGCTGTGTTAATTATTGTAAACTGTTTGCTTATTATTTTTTCTTTTTTTTAAATTAAAGTATCTTTACTTTATTCAGTGAACTTTGTATTGATTACATGTCTGTCAACTCAATAAGAATTTTTGAAAAAAGAAAGAAAAATACAGGGATAATATTTTTTCTCGGGAAAAAATTGGGTTAGTCATGAATATTTTTAAAACATTTTGGAAATTACATTAAAAAATTTTGCATCAATGCTAAATAAAATGTTTTAGTCCTTAAAAGGATAAACGTTATAGTCAATGTTCTAAAAACATTTTTACAACATACTTTGAAAATAAACAAATCATTAATATTAACAATGATATAAATGTTTTAAAAACATTTTGAAAATGTTTCTATAGAATGTTGCATAAATTATAAATAAAATGTTTCAGTTGTAGGAGGAGAAAACGTTTTGTCAATGTTTTAAAAACATTTTCACGACCAATACTGAAACATTTAAATATTAAACTCTAAGCAATATTAAGAATGTTTTAAAAACATTTTGACAACGTTCTTTCGAAATGTTTTGAAAACGTAACATTACTATGTTTCATATATGTAGAAGAGGAATGTTTTATTTCAGGTTTTAAAAACATTTTTATAACGTTATAAGAAACTGTTTAATATATGCAAACAAGAATACCTTTGGAATCATTTTTAAAACGTTTCAAAAACATTTTCTAGAAATGTTCCTTAAAGATTTTACTTTAACCTTTTTGAAAACATTTTGAAAAAGTTTCTATAGAATGTTGCATAAATTATAAATAAAATGTTTCAGTTGTAGGAGGAGAAAACGTTTTGTTCAATGTTTTAAAAACATTTTCACGACCAACACTGAAACATTTAAATATTAAACTCTAAGCAATATTGAGAATGTTTTAAAAACATTTTGACAACGTTCTTTCGAAATGTTTTGAAAACGTAACATTACTATGTTTCATATATGTAGAAGAGGAATGTTTTATTTCAGGTTTTAAAAACATTATTATAACGTAATAAGAAACTGTTTGATATATGTAAAGAAGACATACCTTTGGAATCATTTTTAAAACATTTCAAAAACATTTTCTAGAAATGTTCCTTAAAGATTTTACTTTAACCTTTTAAAAACATTTTCAAAAATGTTTTTAAAATGTTACAATGGGAAAGAAAAATGTTTTTAAAACATTTTAAAAATGTTTACTCTGAAATGTTTTGAAAAAACATTTTTATAACTGCAATAAAATGTTTTGAAAATGTTTTGTGCTACCTGGGATGCAATTAGTGAACTTCGATCCTGATCGAGTGTGAACTCAATTATATAGCGATCCATATCGGGATCGAAGTTCGTTTTTTTATGTACTGCTTACGTCTTTACCGATGAACTTTCAATAGTCGTTCTTTTTATTATTTGAAGACTTCTTTATATTAAAATGCACTTGTCCAATCGGACAAGTGCCCAGCAATATTCACTTGTCCGTAATTTTTTTTCGCTGGTACCGGAAAAGCGTTAATGTCGAGCTCTGTGGAGGTGTGAACAAGGTGCTGATTATCAAAAAACACTATGATAGTCCAAATTTTTGTATTGGATAAAACGAAATTCCACTATTTTTTCATCAGAATATCAGGTGAAATTATTTATAAATATATAAGAAATGGTTTTGTGCTCTGATATTATATTGAAATAGCCGAAATATTCGTTAAACCGCTATCCGATAAAATGGAAGCCACTGTACTTGTATGTAATAAATCTGTATCCTAGTATTCACAATAGTCTGATATGTCAATTTTTTTGATAAGGCAGGTCTTATTTCTAAATATATACAAATTGTAATTGAGGTTTAGGTTTAATATACAAGAACAATAAATAAAACTGAACAAAAATTTATTCCCTTGATGTCATAGTGGGATTTTCAGAACATATTGGTAACTATTTTTAGAGCATTTCTTAATTCATAGAAGGAAATTGTACATCAATAAATCATTAATACAAGTCAAAATTGTCGATTCTATGAATTAATGCCTTTATTTGGGAACATAAGGAAAACATTTAAATAATCAGCAAATAGCTCTTCACAGCTTTAAATTTAAATTCCTTTGAAAAACACATTCTACCAGTACACAAAATAAGCATAAAATCTGGGACTATCAATTTTTAACCAAAACATTGGTGACACATTTTACTAAAACTACTGTCCTCACTTAACTTGCAGGGATTAACCTGGATTGTGTGTAGGACTTACCACTAACACATTTTCGCTATAATCTAATATTCGCTTTCTTTGCGGGCATTTTAAGACTGCAAAAAATTGATTCACATAAATTGTCACCAATCGTGAACCATATAGATGACAATGATAATTTTACTGAACTGCTTTGAAAAATGCAAAAAAAGGATTATTAAAGCAAATAAAAAATAACTGTGTTTTGGAATATTTTTGCAAAACAAATGTGATACACAGAAAAAACTTGATATACTGTATTCTAATGAAATTCTAAACAACACTTTTTCCTAGAACACATCACAATCGTAAACGAAAACAAATAAAAATATAAAACAACTAAAACAAGAAAAATGATAACTTCATATCTTAAATAATAAGGTCTGGAAATTAATGATTCTGGCAGTATAAATAAAAGGCAGTAGAAAAACAAAGGCAAGAAATAAGATTTGCAAACAGTACCATTTTCACTATCCAAGCTGATCAAGTGTCCAACTTTCATACCTAGTACTTGCAAGAGTAAGCAAATTAACACTTGGTTATGATAAATAATATCGTACATGTTTTTGAACAAAAATACATATGGTACTATGAAAACTTTGCCTTTTATATAACTTCATGTTTCTCATTCTCAAAAAAGGCCCAGGGACTTAAAAAGTCGCCTGAGTATCCTGCAAAAATATTTTACACATTTAAGATTGTAAATTTCATATACAATACAGGTATGTAGATTTATGTTCAATCCGTGTTGCATTTACTTGCGAGATTAATTAAGTATCTTGTTGCTTGCACATTCTACTCAGCAATTACACTCCCAAATCAAAACTTTCATAAATAAATAAAAATTCCTTTAATTTGTCAAAGATAAAAAGTGAGCTATTTTTACAATGTAATTTATAAAAAATTATAAGGACTTTAACTTTACTCAGGTGACCTTAAAGGCCCATGGACCTCTTCTTCATCACAGCTGGACATGAAACATGAAAAAAAAAGAAAATTTTATATAACTGGCTTATTGGCAGCAGAATTTTTACAGTTATTGAAATGTGCAGAGTCATCATGCTTTCTTTTAACCCCCAATGGTTCTTCATGGTCCAAGGGGTAACCCTTTGTGAACAACAATCCTGGAATAAGACCCCGTGCTCTGTTTGTTTGTTCCGATTTGTATGTAGTCAAAAAGTAGAAATTAACATTCTGTGTCACAACACTGGCCATTCCTGCATCCCCCCAATGACTATCCCAGCCATTCTTCTGTACAAACACAGAGTATCGAACATCTGGCTCTAATTTAATTGAATTAGGGAATTTCAATTTAAAAATAGTTTTTTCTGGTTCAATTTTGACTTGTTTTGTCACATCTGTTAACACTCTATCATGATCACAGTCTTCCAATGCTGCGTAAACATCAAGTGTACCCAGACCAGCCCCATGCCCTCCATACAATAAAAGCCCTGTCAGTATTATTTGGACATCAACATAAAAGTCTATCCTCCCTGTCTTACGGCCCCATTTTACATCAATTCTGTCATAGGAGAACCGTTTGCAGATGTACTGGTCTGTTCCTCGGCGTTTTCTGACACAAAACTTGGTCTGACAAATTTTAACCTCTGCCATTTGTCGTGTCACATCTTGTATTTCTCTCTCAGACAAAATGTCAGACTTGCACACTGTCTCATTAAAGAAATGCATATTCATGATGGGGAACCTAATACAATATAGGCAGCTTCCAAGAGCATTTCTTTTGTTTAGGCCACTATCCTCTAACTGTGAATTCCGACACTGCACTGAAGCCCAGTCCATCACTCGATGGAAAATCTCTTCCTCATTCATCACCAAATCATCCAACAGAAGGACTTTGCGAAGACATTCACTACACAGAGAGAGGAAGTTTTCAGCTTCAAATGCCCCTGGAGTGTCCTTTATAAATTCTACACAATGACTCCTTACTGATTCCTTATTGAAGCAATGAGCACTCTCCAGGACAGAACAGACATTTTCTGCTGTGAGATTCTGCATGAGAAAGTTGACACATTTGTCTTCCAGTCCCACCATGGCATATTTGTTTGCAGCATGCATTACAGCGAGAACATCATCTCCTGATAAGGTAACATCATCTGTATAGATATACCTGAAATCACATTTTGTTAAAAAATATATGGCTTAACAATGCTTGATACAAATTTTGAACGATATGCCTGTGGACCATAAAGGGACCAGGACATGGGCCTGAATGTGGTTTCATTGTTGTTTTGTTTACAATTTTAAATTCCTATTTTCATTCAATTAATATATTAAATTTATTTTAATGAATTGAACTTGCATTAAAATTCAGTGACCACAATATTCTTCATAACATTATTAACACCAAACACCTGTGTTTGTGAACATAAGCAAGAGCTCTGTTATTGTTAATGTTTACATTTTACCAGAGGCCAGTTCAACAGAGCGAGCGCTCGCGAACATTTCTGTTGGAGGGAAAAGGAATTTTGGCGAGCACTCGCAAACATTCGCTCTGTTGAACAGGCCTCAGGTGTGTTCAATTTGTTAACTCTGCACACATCTCTGAACACGAAATGATAACACTGGTGTATTGGTTTTGCTTTCTCCCATTTCTACTCTTATTTTATGGATTATAGTTTTAATATTTTTCACTAATGCAACACAAATTTTCTACTTTTCTTAAATATTAAGGATATATTTTACTTTGTGAAAGTGCAAGGATATGTGTTAATCGAACGTGTCCCAAAAATTGTAGTTTTAATAATTTTCAGATAAAAGAAGTTTCCAAACATGCTTATAATATATTGGACTGAAATGTTCTAGTAACATTTAAGTCATGATATTCTCAGTGATTATACCAAAAATTTTAGAAAATATTAACTTCAAATCTGTGTTTTTTTCATCAAAGCAAATTTTGTTGATCTACTTATTTGTACACATTTGGAATAATGTTTATGCCAATGAAAGCCCCTACCACAGAATAAGCAGGGGGTTAGTGCTTATATTGTAGTATGTGTACATTAAAAGGATTTAAGAAAACTCTCACAACAAGGCTACAAATTTTCAATAAATGTGAAAATGTCCTTTTGAAGATTATATTCAAATCTGCTCCAAGCACTCTTTGTCAAAAGCACAATGCTAGGATCAGATTTGAATAATAAGTCATTTTGACTTCTTTTTGATGAATTTTATGTTGATTTTTATTTGTTAAAATAAAAAAAGAAAATAAGTATGAACTTGAATTATTTATATACTTGAGAAGACTCTTGAACGTATGAGGTTCCATATCTGTGATAAAGATGTCCTCCTTCTCAGCTAAAGGTCCGTATAGCATAGCATAGAATACTGCACTGCGACTTCCCAGTACATACTTGTGTGCCCTGATCATCTCTCTACTCTCCCCCACTCTGAAGGTCACATCACAGTCTATCTGGTTATCAAGCATGTAGTTGTTACACTCGGCAAGAGTCTTTCCTAGCTGCCATTCCCTGTCCATACTGCTTATTAACCTACATAACAAAATATATCGGCAATAAACCAGTGTTTGAAGCTGACCGTAAAATTAGCTAGACATGCAGGGCTGATTGCTAATGAAAGTTATAAGCCCTGCAAAAGTGCTACTGGCCTGAGAAAATAATTACTGGGTACCGTTTTTAAAAATTATTTTCATAACATATGTAAAACCATATAAGTTGTAACGTCCTTTATCTTGCAGCTGGCAAGTTATTCAAAAGACAATTTTTCGGTACAGTCAGTTGATTTGTGACATTTATTATTGTAAATTTTTAATTAGTGCAAAAACAAGCAAATTTGTAGAATAGCAGAAATTATGTCTCTCAGGCGGTTAATGCAGTTGGTCAATAATATACATTTATTGACTGGGTTCAAAGGCAACATGCATTTTGTCGGACCCAAGAACCAAACTGTTTGCTTGAGGTCGTTAGGCTGAAGGCAAACAGTTTGGTTCGAGGGGTCGACAAAATGCATTTTGCCCGAGAACACAGTCAATAAATATTTTGTTATACCTTTTACTTTTTATTTTGACATAACATGATGTAAATTTTGTTTACCCACACTGCAGTTTAAACTTGGTCAATTCCGTTAAGTTCTGTTGAACTCCATCAAATGCAAATAAGATACAGCTGACCCCACCCACACTGTGACGTAAGCGGTCCAACATCTAATCGACAGGTCTTATATCTCACTCTGCGGTCAAACATCGATTTTTTTATGACCGCTCAGTAAAACATTGGAAATGTTAGACTTTTTTAAGACTAAAAAAGTCTAAGTATAGAATTATATAGAAAACAACTTTTACAGGTGTAACAATGAGTCTTACCTACATACAAGACAAAGACAAGTCAAATGCATGTCTAATAAGGTTCACTTTTTTCTTTCTTCATTACACTATTTCAGTCATACTCCTGGAAAATATAGCATCTTCTGCGAGGCCATAGTCGCAAGCCATGTTTTGTGTCCATTCCATTTCCACAAATCCATGGCTGACTATTGCCAACTTTGCTTATTCTTGTAAATGAATCACTTAATATTAATTACATGACACTAGAATCTCTTCACCAATGAAATTATTCTGTATTTTTGCAAAGTAGGACAAAGGTCAAGGTCGAATGGACTGTAACACTAGTATTTTTCATTAATATGTATTATGACAAATGGTGCACATGCTAAATAGCATAGACTTGCCTCTTAAATGTAAAAATAAGCTGTACATCAGCACCATGAACTATTTTGATAAAAAGGGCAAAGGTCTTGTTTAAGTGTCATGAGGTCGGTAACCATGGTATTTTACAAAAGCCATAATGCCAAACTATATATGCAAAATAATCAAATCCATACCTAGCTCTTACAGTTCTAGAGATATAAGGTGTGACAGCCGGACAGACAACAGGTAAAGTGATCCATAAGTGTCGCTCTGCACTGCAGGTGACACAAAAATTACCTTGGACCTCCACCCCCACTAGAACACAGACCTCTTTTAAACAAAAGAGTCTTTGTATTACCATGATTATTTCTTGTGGAATAGAAAGCTGACTTACTTCACAATACTTGTAGATATCAAACAGCCCCTACCAGTTTGTCTAATCGTTTATAATAAATGATTCTGATCAGACATATGTTTGCACATGTTTATATTTCGTTCTCATTGTTGACATTGTTGATACATGACTCATTTTCAGCCTCAGGCCAGTAAGTGCATGTTAACTTAAAACTCAGTTACATATAAAGTTACCTACCAGATGAAGAAATTCGAATTGTCAGTAGTGAAGTCAAAATGCTTTCTTTAAAAATCAATTTTAATATTCTACCATTGAAATAGAATTGGCCGTTGAAATTTATCAGGGTTTTTGTCATCTGCGAAATAGGACCGGACGTAAATAAATAATGCTAAATTTAAAACCTATTACCGATTTCCGAATTGTGAAAATGTAAAAACAGAGAAAAAAACAATACTATCAAATGTCTACGGTCTTTGATATTATGAACCAATATTTTTGTACTTATAGGCACATTCACAAAAAATGCTCATGAGAATTTTTAATCTATTAAAACATTTTACTTACAAGTTACAGCACTACGGAACGTTCTTGAAAGCAATGTTAACATCCGGTTGTGAAATGAAAACACTGAATAACTGAATACACTATCATGGTAGTCTGCAAATTTTTTATGCAAGGATACTGTAGGTTTGGTGATAGCTGTAAATTTGAACATCCACGAGGAGGAAACGCAGGCAAGTTGAAGTTAAAACGACTCACAGAAAACAAAATATTGTCCATAGATCAAAGGGGTTCATCATGATCTCTTTTTGACCACCAAAGGGGGAATCAAAGCATAAAAAATTTGCTACCTTGGCTTAGATGTTCATTTTCCCTATATCTAATAGTTTAAAAAGTTAGAAAGCCAGGGATCGAGGCAATCCCCCTGCAGGGATTTCAGAATAACAAGTTACTGTTAGTTTATTTATTTAGGTTATGCATATTCTGCACAGAGACAGCTCTTTGGAGGTGGAGGCAGTGGATCAAGGTTTGGAGGTGGGGCGGGACCAAATCCATACAAGTGGACAGCTAATGATCAACAAAGAACACAAAACAAACCCGTATCCCAGCAGACTTCTCCTAATGACCTAATGTAAATGTTGCCCATTGTTAACACATTATAATTACTAAGTTACTAATATGTTGATGGTTTGACCATTGGGGTGAGTGCAGTTGTGTATTTATTACTGGATACCTTTTCACATAGATCCACCTCTTCAAATCGCAGAAGACTTTTGGAGGGTCTTAGACTGATGTCACATGACATCGTATTGTAGTTGCATTTTTGAAGTGTAACTGTTTCTAAAAAGGGCAATATCTAACAAAGAGTTTAATCTACTATCTATCTGCAATTTCATTCAAGCAAGGTGAGTTACTTTTATTAATTGTGAACTTTTTTTTTTGAATATTGTGAAAATAAGATAAAGGGCAGTACCATGGTTATGGAAAAACAGTCTATTTGTGTTGCATTGTGGGTATCAAGGTTTTCTGAAGAAAAAAATTGTGCAGTAGTCTGAATTTTCTCTTTGCTTGGGCATTGTTGTAACCCCCTGGGTCAGGGATTCTGGTGTTAAGGTGGGGTTCTAGTATTGATTATATAGTGAAAATGCATTAATTCATAGAAATTCTTCTCTGCTCCTGGGTATTTAGCAGATAAACTAAGTGCATGGTTATAATGATCAAGAGTGCTTCTGCCAAAATTCTGTGAAATTTGTGGCCCCAGAGTCATGGGTTCTGTGCGAAGGAGAGGGTGCTCTATTGATGATATAGTGAAAGAACATTATTTCTCTGAAAATCTTCCTCTATGCTCCTGGGTATTAAGCAAACAAACCAAGTGCATAGTTATGATCAAGAATGCATTTTCCAAAAATTGGGAAATTTGTGGCCCAGGGGTCAGGGGTTCTTCAGGAGGAGCGGGGAGGGGCTCTATTAACTACAAAGTGAAATTGCATAAATTCTTTTGAAAATTTTCTTCTCTGCTCATTTGTATTTAGCAGATAAACAAATTGCATGGTTATGATGAGCAAGAATTCCTTTTCAAAAATTTTTAAATTTATAACCCCTGGGTCATTATTTCTTTGTAAATCTTCTTCTGTGCCCATGGGTATTTAGCAAATATATTAAGTGCATAATTATGATGAGCAAGGGTGCCTCTTCCAAAATTATTAATTTCTTGACCCCTTGGTCAGGGGTCTGGTGTTAAAGTTGGGCTATGTTGAATCTATAGTAAAAATGCACTATTTCTTTGAAAATCTTCTTCTCTGCTCCTGGGCATCTAGGAGGCAAACACAGAATATAAAGTTGTAATAAGCAAGGGTATTTTTACCAGAATTTTGAAATTTTGCACCACTTGGTCAATTTAATAATTTCTATTCAACTGAAAGAAGTTATTCACCTTTGCTATTCACCAATGATAACTAATCACTGAAAATAATGTAATTGAAAGGTCAATTGCATAACAGAATTCAACAAAAAAAATTATATTGTTTAATACTAAAAGTACTTTCATAGTTTTTAATGGTCAAGTAAACTTTTAAAGAATAGATAAATAAAAACGGGACAAAAATACCTTATCTTTATACATTAAATGTATTTCTAAGAGTAAGAGAGACCAGTGTGAGGTGAGAGGGAATGAGATGGGTTTACTAATAGTGCTCAAGAATTATTGTTTTGTTTGTTGTTATTGTTTTACTGAGCACTAAATTAGATCCTATTTTTCTGATCCCTGATCATCCTATTTCTCTTGCTTTTGGGCAACATAGCTTCATTTATCAGCTTATTTTGTTTTATTTTATATTCAATCTATGGATCCTTTACAGAGTTACATCATACTCAGGTGACCGTTAAGGCCCTTGGACCTCTTGTCTTTGTCAAAGGTTTTAATTTCACAGATGATACAATTTTACTTTATACTTTCACTTTTCCAATACTTTTCTTTAATTGTTTGGACTTATTCTATTTGTGTTCATTTGACATAAAAAATTAAGTATAGTATTAATTTGTTTACCTTAGAAACACATTAATATCAGAGGTTAAAGAATTGGAGAAGACAAAAATGTGGCCATTTTCATGCATTGGATTCGAAAAAGATGGTCCCTGTGTGCCAGGTATCAGTATTTATCTCTCAATCTATGTTAAGTAGGAGATGAGAAGTAAATTGTTAGTATTTATTTAACACTGAAGATAAAGATACACAGGCAAACCTGGAACTCAAGGGGACTGGTGAAAAACTTTGATATATCCAAGGGTTTGATTTATTGAGGGTAAAATCAAGTACACAGATAAAAAGTTGTTGGGACATCCAAATGACTTCGACACAGCCATGGCATTCAAGATTTCAATATATCGAAGTACAACTGTACTTATATTTTTTCAGATTTTGAGGACACTTCACCAGAGGAGTTGAGACATCTTGCTTATGAAGCTCAAAAATCAAATAATTTTCAAGGATATGTAAGTAAATATAAATTTCCTCAAAGACACTTATTCAAGAGAATATAATTGTTTTCCATTGATACATACCTTTGAAATATTGCTGGTAATGAAAATAATTCATCTAACATCAAAGTTAAACTTGATAATGAAAACTTTCAATATTTTATAATATTGTATATTGTAGATTTTGATATATTTTAATATTATATATTGTAGATAGACTATGTTCAAAATCTGCAGAATGAGGTCAATAAAAAGCGGCAAATGCTTGCAAACCCTCCAATGCGTATAAAGCAGAAAATGGTATGTTTTTTACATCGTATTTTACAATTTTTTAATAGTAGAATCTTTGCTGAAACAAGTCTGTATACAATCCAATTCATTTTATTTACTTTTTGACATCTATAAGCAGCAAGGAAAATTTTAGCAAGTTGAAATGTGCAAGAATATCTATATTCTGTTGCATTCATCACATAGGTTGTATGTTGATTAAGTCATTACTGTGTATTTTGTAGCTATCACTGATTGATGACTATCGATTACGAAAACACAGGTGAGTTTGAAATCTTTGTATAAGAAAAAGAATATTTTAAGTAGAAAACATGTATTCACACATAATGTGACAGCTATAGAAAAAAATGGAACTTGCCATAAAATAGCCAGAGTACCAGAGAAAATATCTTACTTGATTCACTGAAATGATTACTATCCATTGTGCATAAAATTTTTTAAATCTGAATTTTTTTAAATTGACTTTTTTTTGTGTGTGGAGCATGAATTTGTAGAAAAGCAGAATGAGGAACTTGTGTGTTATGTAAAACTGGTTTGTGTCTTTGAGATAATGTAGAATTGCTCCAGATACTCTGGTAACTGTCAAGGCCCTTTGGTTGCTTATTTTATTACAAATAATGCACTTATATTTATTTTCTTCACTGCAGGTCTGGAAATAGTTCTAGTAAGTTAACATTTTTATTTAAAAATATCTTTCTAAGATATTTTAATTTACAATATGCCAATCTGTTGAGACCATTATGATGGACGTTATGAAGATCTGAAAAAAAATATTTCAAATTTAAATTGCATGAATATTCTCTGATGAAGGTTTTAATGTTTATGAAAGTATGTCATTAATCTTATTTTTAAGTCTTTTTACCTAAATCAGATGATTAATTACATTTTACTTTGTAGCACATAATACAGTGTCATTATTCAGTAATCCAACCCCAAGTGAAAATTCTTTTCAATCTGCATCTTTTGGAAGTGACTCAAGCCGAGGGTCCTTTGGTAAGGTTTTATAAGTAGAAAGATCAACTTTATGCCCTGTTGATTTTACTGGTAAATGTATTTTCTGATTATTTTTTATTATGGGTATTCAAATTTTGATAGGGGCCACAGGCTTTGGAGCCTCTGGAACCTTTGGAGCATCTGGAACACAAGGATTTGGGTCTTCAGGGTCAGCAGGAGGTTTTGGTGCAAGCTCTGAGTCAAATGGGGTCTTTGGATCAGCTGGTGCTTTTGGAGCAAAAACATCTGGAGACTTTGGTTCAAGTACAGGCTTTGGAGCAAATCCTGCCTCATCTGGGAGCTTTGGTGTTGGTGGATTTGGCACATCTTCCTTTGGAGCACAACCATCTGCTTTTCCAAGTCCTATTTCATTTGGAAATTCCAGTGTGACACCCACACCATTTGGAAATAACTCCACGAAAACTCCAAGTATATTTGATAACAGTGCAACAAATTCCTCGGCCAGTGCATCATCCAGTGGATTCCAGAGCCAAGGAACAAATGTATTTGGAGGAACCTCTAATCAGACAATAGGACATAATACAGGTGCTAGTGCTTCTTTCCACAGTCCACAACAAGTGTCCATGGAGTCTAGTATCTACACTCCTATGGATAAATTGACTGCTGAGGAGTTAGCAGAATTTCAGGCTACACATTTTACTCTTGGAAAGATTCCAACAAAACCACCCCCAAAAGAACTGTGTTTTTAATTTCTTTATTTACTGCTTGCAAAATTTTGCATGTATAGAAAATTTCATTTCAAAAAATTTTCTTCTTAAAGAACAGCTAATGTCATTCCAAGTAAAAGCACAATAAGTAGATACTTTAAAATGTGCATTATGATTTTGTATGGCTTATCATGCTTAGCTTTATTTCAGTGAATTCAAAATGCTCTGTAATAAAAAAAAAGAATGATCATGCAAAACTGAAAACCATTTACTGGATAGTCTGACAGTTGATTTTCTTGATTTCTAGACAATGATTAAAATAAAGCTATGTGTTATCTATATCAGTGTCCTATTTCATATGGAGCTATTGCCAGGTTGATGCAATGCAAGTTTAACACTGCCTAATGAAAGTCCAAAATATTAATGAAATTGTACTAAAATGGCAAATCTGTGTTAGTTGTTCCTGACAACTGATGCAAGTACATATATCAAGCATCAGGATATATGAAATATCTAAATTTTTGTACTCCAGTTAGTGCTATTAGATACATAGTTTTGTAGTGACCGAGTATAGAGGATGATACCTGGTTTGTAAATTTTATACCTGGTGAGGCAAAGCCAAGCAGGTTATAAAATTTACTGACCAGGTATTATCCCCAGCCTGGTCACTACAAATCTATGTAACAAATTTACCCCACTTCATGCAAATTGCATAAACTAATGGATTACATCTTATAACCGAAACGCTAAACAATTTATTCTTTAGATAACGAACCATGCAGAAAGGGGGGGGGGGGGTAATCCATTGTATCTTTGACTGCTTTTATGCTTAATGGGTGCAGGTCTTACAAGCCCCCAGAAGTGGAAGTCTCTTTGTTCTTGAAAAGTAATTTTATTGCAAAATTTACCTTAGTAGCATGGCCGTATGAACCAGAGGGGGGCGTCCCCCCTCCCCCCAATAATTTTGCCTATATATAGATTAAAAACATAGCTACTATATGCTTGTGCTCCCTATTTAAAACCGTTTGATGCCATTTTTTTTGCTCCTGAGTAGAGCTGTACACACTTGGTGAATTATCTCAAGTGTTTAAATTATGGTCTCTCCTAGAATATACATTTTAAAATAGCTTTTTTTCAAGTCGAATAGATAAACGTTTACTTTGTATATTTTCAGCAAATACTACATGGTATTTCCTTTGGCTGTTAGAATTTTTGAAAAAATGGTTAGACACTGCGTGAATATAGGAAGGCAGACACTAAAATTGACAAGGTCTTTGGAATGATATGAGGTGATCTGGGAGGGTAGAGGTCCCCTATCCTCTGGGAGAAGAATGTAATTTAATTTCAAAGTCATCAATAGCTAAACCTAAAGCAAAAAGTCTTTGCTTGAGCCTTTGTAAATACAAATTAGATGCTGTAAAGACGGTAATACACGCAAGTAAGTGTTTGCCTCTAAATGTACACTACCTCTCTTTTAGCGAAGAAACCAAAAAAAAGTTACTCTATAATTTACATAAACTATGTTTATATGTAATATGCAAAGTGAGCATATGAACATGGGCTTCTTAGTATTTCAAATAATAAATTCATTATCGGTTGAAATTGAATATTGTGAAGAAGTCAATTCTGATTTTAAAAGAGGGGGTTTTAGAAATATGGGGTTTTTTTTCTGTAAAGAAAAAAAAATTGGCCCAAATTGGAACGTGAACATTTCATTTCTCGGCCCCTATTTGGCCCCAGGGATGAAAATGAAAGTTCCGAAACCTTATTGCACTTTTGCAGAAAACCTCTAATCTTTCAAAAGATGAAATGGCTATACTGCGTGGAAAATATATGAAGAGTTCTAGGAAGCAGTTTTTTTGTAAAATTAAAAACGTTTTTTGACCCAAAGGGTGAAAATGAAAATTCCAAAACCTTATTACAAATCTACAGAACACCCCCAATCATCTTGCAACAGATGAGATCGCTACTGTGTAAAAAGTATGAGGAGTTCTGGGAACCAGGTTTCTTTAAAATAAAAAAAACCCCATCGTTCTTCGACCCCATTTGGTCCCCAGGGTGAAAACGAAACTTCCGAAACCTTATTGCACTCCTGCAGGACACCCTCAATCATCTTGCAACAAATTAGATGGCTTCTATGTAAAATGTAAGAGGATTTTTGTTGAACCCGGTTTATGTAAAATGAAAAATTTCGTTTTTCGACCCCCATCTGTACGAAAGCCCAGAAGGCTCATTCGAGATTCGAGTTTCGAAATACGAGATTCGAAATTCGAGTTTCGAGATTCAAGATCCAAACTAACCAATCAAAAGGCGGTTTAAGATTCAATTACTCCCCTTTGCTAAGTTTTGACCTTCTAGAAATCGTTGAATATATCCAAACCGAAGAGGTCATTTGATTATATTACAATGCAAGAAAGAGTGTTATATATATCAGAACGAAATTAGAAAAAAAATATTGGGTTTTGGGTCTGCAAAATATGCTTAAATTTATTAAAACTTCTTAAATATTATAACTCGAATCTCGAATGAGCCTTCTGGGCTTTCGTACCATCTGGCCCCCGGAGTAAAAATGAAAATTCCGAGACCCTTTTTGCGCATCTACAGGACACCGCCAATTAACTTCCAAAAGATGATTTGGCTACTGGGTACTAGTAAGTGTTTTATCTTAGGCATCTGTAAGGAAATAAAGCATTCATCTGATAGAATAATTCTATACACTGTTGTGGTGATGAAATATGTAGTGTCGTAGTAATGTCTTTCAAGGTAAAACTAGAAGTTTAGATACCATGATGCTCGCAGCATCGATACTTTTAGGTGTCCACACAGATTTCAATCGACCAGTTTGACTGATCTTGTAACTCTCCTTTTTTTTTTTTTAATTTTGATTTACTTAATCCATCTGAAAACTGTACAGCGTGAAAGACTAACCTTACCACATATCAAAACCATATCTTTTACATGGGTTCTTCAGCAGTTTTTGTAATGAAGCACAGTTTTCACATACGCCCTCATGTTCATCTTCTTGGCAGAGACCGTTTTGAAATAATTTAAAGTTCAATGTAGTGACCATGCTTACTTTAAAAGTGAATTTCTTTGCTAAGACAGTAGGAAAATGCAGTTTTTCGAAAATTATTAGTTCTTTAATAGAACTTTTGGACTGCTGTGGGAATTAAATTAAATACATCAGTCTACATTTATCATGATAGACCGTATGTTGCATTATTTATTGAACGACCCTCGTATGCTAGTATTTCAAATAATAAATTCAATACAGGTCTGAAATTAATGATTGTAATGAAGTAAACTCTGATTTTTAAGAGAGAGTTTCAGAAAAATGTGTTTTTCTGTAAAGAAAAAAAAATATCGCAGCCCAATCTTTTTAAATACATATAATAATTTTGATGACATTTTAGTACCAAGTTTTGCCCAGAAAGAAATCATACGATTTTTAACATTAATAGATAAAGGGTATCTAACCAAGTTCTCCATATACCATAAAATTTGGTGTGGACGACCTAAGAATGTTTACAAACTTTTAGATAAAGACTTTCAACAAGAGCGATAATACTAAAACCCTATACTGAACACAACCATATAACAGAATTGGTTTCACTATTTTGTCAAACATATCTAATTTACAAGCGATTGGCAGATTATTTTTTTCCACATTTTCCAAGAACACCATACATTTTTTTAGTAGCTTTCTCATACATTTCCTAAGCATTCAAATTATAGATCCACTTTTACAAAATGTTACTCCTAATTAATTTTCAACAATTTCCATTGGAACACCTTCAAAATTAAATGAAATATTAGCACTTACTTTACCTTTACCAAATATAACAATTTTGGTTTTAGTACTATTAACCTTCAAGTGCCATTTTTACAGTATTCAGAGAACATCTCAAGCTGATACTGAAGATCTTCAGGGGATAGTATCATCTGCATAAAGTAAAACATAAAGCCGTAAATTTATATTTAGTTCATCTTCAATTTTTCAGACCTTTTACATTTTTGTCAAACAAAAATCCTTCAAGATCATTCAAAAACAGTGCAAATAAAAATGGTGAAAATTTTCACCTTGTCTTACTCCAACAGTACATGCAAACATTTCTGATGATGCTCCATTAACTACTTCCCTTGATTTAATACCCTTATACATATTGTTTATAACTTTAAAACATTTGCTATCTATATTATTTAATAAAGTTTTATTCCAGAGACCTATTCGCCAGAATGAGTCAAAGTCTTTCTCAAAATTTATGAAAACACAGTACAATTTCTTTTTATATGATTTAAACAATTCAGTAAGTGTGTATTATGAAAAAATGTGATCCAGAGTAGAGAAGTCTTTTCGAAACTCTAAGATAAGTTGGGTTCTGTCAGCATTATTATTTAGTCTCTCGTTGATAATGACAGTAAACAATTTTCCCTAACAACTTATTTATGTAATTGGTCTGTAGTTTTTGGGGATCAGAACTATCACCTCTATTTTTATATATTGGGATTATATTGCCATAAGTCCACCGTAAGGGAATTATTCCACATTCAAATATTCTATTAAATAACAGAATTTTAGAATGGGACAATGAGTATAGTATACTTACTGATGCACTGTTTGGATTTCGAACTGGAATCTCTACAGTAGATGCAATATTTGTTTTACAATCATTAATTAACAAACTTTGAATAATAAAAAGCGTTTATGTTGTTGTTTTGTAGATTTTCAAAAAGCGTTCCACTCTTTTAATAGGTTCAAATTCCTGTGACATATACTTTTCAAATTACACACTTACCTCCTTCGATGTGCAAGACATTCTGTTATCAAAAGTTATATCTTTGGTTCTAGCATGTGATTCTAATTTTCTGAAGTTGATTACAAGGACGAATTTACAATTCCTATGACCTTGACTTTGTTCAATGACCCTAGTTCACTGTTATCACTAACTTTCTTTTTTCATAAACCACAGTTGACCAAAGTTAAATACCTATACAGAAATACTTCCAAACAAATTTCTACACTCAAAAATTTTATCAACAGGTAGTAAGGCAAATAAAAGGCATTGTGCTCCTCAATCTTCCACAAAGAATGTGATTCGACTTACGATAAGGTGTAAATTGACCTGGACTTGGTTTGAGGGGGTTAAAAGAGAGGTGTTTGGGGCAAGGAATATTAAGGCTTGTGAGTTGATACAATTTTGCTCAATCCTGGTAATTTTAAGACGATCAGTGCCATATTTGACGAACTCGGAGGAAGTACGACTTGAACTGGAAAATCGGATAATTTGGAGGAAATTGGATTGGAATATAAAAATGTACAAAATGGTATGAACTGAGCA